GAGCCGCCGCTGCTGCCTGTAGAAATCGATCCCATCTGCTCATCATAGGGAACTTTAACGGAAGGATAGACTTGGAAAACAAGGAGCCGCTTGGAGATGAGGAAACATGGAGAGCGAAACTGTTGGAGGTGGTTATTAGAAACTTTTTAAGGCAACATGTCAGGGGACCGATGAGAATGAGAGGCAATGATGAACCAGCGAGACTCGACCTAATATTCACTGTGAAGACCTCGGACATAAGCCCCGTGGGAATGCACCCCGTCCTCCAAACGAAGACCCATAAGTAATTCCATCCACCCGCCAAACCCCAGCTGTTTATGAATGAAAAACGGTTTACACACGACTCACAACTGATGAAGTTCGAACACTTCCGGAACAAGTGCTTCACTGACGAATTTTGTTCGAACTACAACGCAGTAAACCAGTAAACAGCCCGTCCTCCAAACAAAGATCCAAAAGTGATTCCATGCACCCGCCAAACCCCCTGTTTATGAATGAAAAGCGGTTTACACATGACTCACAACTGCTGACGTTCGAACATATCCGGAACAAGTGCTTCACTGACGAATTTTGCTCGAATCACAACGCTATAAATTCTTCACCCACGTACTTCAAATACAAATAATCGCCAACAGAACCTAAACACCTAACCTAACCTATCCTATGCCTATATATGCACAATATGCTAATATATTATAATATTAATTTATAGTTGAGAAAATTCCCGTTTTGAATGAATAACATGTAAAAATTTATGAATGCGTTTGTGGGGTCGATCGACCGCTGGATGTAATGGACTTGAGTCGAAGACGGGTTGGGGAATGAATGATCACAGTGTACTGATGTTTGAGTATCTGGTCGAAGAAGGGTTAATGTACTCAAGGAACATCCAGGAAACAAAAGGCCGACATTCCAGAAGGGAAATTATGAGGAGATAAGGAAATTCCTAACAGATTTAACTTGGGAAACAGAGCTTAGAGGAAAGACGGCTCAATGCTCAGGGGGACGTGAACCTGTGCTCAGGGGGGCGTGTACCTGTGTTCAGGGGGACGTGTACCTGTGCTCAGGGGGACGTGTACCTGTGCTCAGGGGGACGTGTACCTGTGCTCAGGGGGGGCATGAAGCTGTGCTCAGGAGGACGTGTACCTGTGCTCAGGGGGACGTGAACCTGTGCTCAGGGGGACGTGTACCTGTGCTCAGGGGGACGTGAACCTGTGCTCAGGAGGACATGTACCTGTGCTCAGGGGGACGTGTACCTGTGCTCAGGGGGACGTGAACCTGTGCTCAGGGGGACGTGTACCTGTGCTCAGAAGGACGTGTACCTGTGCTCAGGGGGACGTGTACCTGTGCTCAGGGGGACGTGAACCTGTGCTCAGGGGGACGTGTACCTGTGCTCAGGGGGACGTGTACCTGTGCTCAGGGGGGGCATGAAGCTGTGCTCAGGGGGACGTGTACCTGTGCTCAGGGGGGACATGAAGCTGTGCTCAGGGGGACGTGTACCTGTGCTCAGGGGATTCATACCCGTCAACATCGCCCTTGACTTTAATGTTAACACATCAGTGAAGTCATGATACCATGTCTGCCATCGTGGTGCATCATCTCTCATTGTCAGGGTGGCGTCGTTTGTTATTCTTATCCCCCCCTCCCCTTCCCCTCGCCCCCCCTCCCCTTCCCCTCGCCCCCCCTCCCCTTCCCCTCGCCCTCCTCCCCTGCCCTTCACCCCCCCCCCACTTCCCCCTGCGTCTGGCCACAGGACGCCGGCGCCGCACAGGGATGGACCTGTTCCTCCTCTCACCTTAACGTTGCATTTTTATCGGACTCGACAAATCTGTTAAAAATGCGACGTGTTAGTAAGCATTAAACTACCATATTATTGACGTTTCCTGTGCATGGCCTTGATAGGTTAAGCGGACTACTTTGGTTTGTACGTTTTTTAATTAGACAAAACATCTTTATTTTTGACGGAGTGAGAACAGTTGTTCGTCCTGTCATGAATCGGTGACGGTTCATGGAATATATCAAAGTTAATTTTTACAGTTAAAATTGTCACACATCCGCAAGTGGGATATGATACTATGACGTCATTGAGTTCTTAGGAATTGTATATGCGGAAAAAATGTTTGCGTTGAATTCACTACCGGATTGTTATGGGATATGAACGATGTTTAGCGACAGAAGTAATTATTATTCAACTGCAGATGAGGAGTCACAATAACGTGGCTGAAAAAATCGACTTGATCCACTTGATTAAATCGACTCAATTAACCCCACATTGTTTGAGTTAGGAAAACACTATTTGTCAAATATTGATACTGTTCTTAAAAGATTCCCCCATTTTGCACCCGCAAGATAACGTAAGCTTTTAAGGGTTGACAGATGTTAATCTTCTTGTTTGAGGAGCTGTTCACTTGAGACAGTTAAGCAAGTCCCAGCTGTGTCTGGGTACAAGTGACAGGATGAACAACCCAGCGGGTTTTCTTCCTATTGGGGAGTGTTGTACATGCTGCTATGGCGGTGTGTCTACTCACAGGATGAGTGGTGCTGCCCAATACTGTCACTATGGCGGTGTGTCCACTCACAGGATGAGTGGTGCTGCCGAATACTGTCACTATGGCGGTGTGTCCACTCACAGGATGAGTGGTGCTGCCCAATACTGTCACTATGGCGGTGTGTCCACTCACAAGATGAGTGGCGCTGCCCAATACTGTCACTATAGCGGTGTGTCCACTCACAAGATGAGTGGCGCTGCCCAATACTGTCACTATGGTGGTGTGTCCACTCACAGGATGATTGACGCTGCCCAATACTGTCACTATGGCGGTGTGTACACTCACAGGATGAGTGGCGCTGCCCAATACTGTCACTATGGCGGTGTGTCCACTCACAGGATGAGTGGCGCTACCCAATACTGTCACTATGGCGGTGTGTCCACTCACAGGATGAGTGGCGCTGCCCAATACTGTCACTATGGCGGTGTGTCCACTCACAGGAAGAGTGGCGCTGCCCAATACTGTCACTATGGCGGTGTGTCCACTCACAGGATGAGTGGCGCTGCCCAATACTGTCACTATGGCGGTGTGTCCACTCACAGGATGAGTGGCGCTGCCCAATACTGTCACTATGGCGGTGTGTCCACTCACAAGATGAGTGGCGCTGCCCAATACTGTCACTATGGCGGTGTGTCCACTCACAGGATGAGTGGCGCTGCCCAATACTGTCACTATGGCGGTGTGTCCACTCACAGGAAGAGTGGCGCTGCCCAATACTGTCACTTTGGCGGTGTGTCCACTCACAAGATGAGTGGCGCTGCCCAATACTGTCACTATGGCGGTGTGTCCACTCACAGGATGAGTGGCGCTGCCCAATACTGTCACTATGGCGGTGTGTCCACTCACAGGAAGAGTGGCGCTGCCCAATACTGTCACTATGGCGGTGTGTCCACTCACAAGATGAGTGGCGCTGCCCAATACTGTCACTATGGTGGTGTGTCCACTCACAGGATGATTGACGCTGCCCAATACTGTCACTATGGCGGTGTGTACACTCACGGGATGAGTGGCGCTGCCCAATACTGTCACTATGGCGGTGTGTCCACTCACAAGATGAGTGGCGCTGCCCAATACTGTCACTATGGCGGTGTGTCCACTCACAAGATGAGTGGCGCTGCCCAATACTGTCACTATGGCGGTGTGTCCACTCACAGGATGAGTGGTGCTGCCCAATACTGTCACTATGGCGGTGTGTCCACTCACAGGATGAGTGGTGCTGCCCAATACTGTCACTATGGCGGTGTGTCCACTCACAGGATGAGTGGTGCTGCCCAATAAACTCGCCCCTCGGGGCAAAATTTAAATTTAAAAATCGACTTAATAATGGTCCAGGACGGACCGAAACGTCGTCGTCTCTTCACTTTCTAGTGTGTGGTCTGGTCAACAATTATTATTTATAGTTCATAGTATAGTTTCTTCCACTAGGAACGATATACTAAGTGATATCAGTGACAAAAATAACGCTGTGTGAGAAGGAACAATATACATTGAAGTCATTTCGTGAATATTTCCAGAGTAAATTAGAACATTATATTGTCATCTCTGAGCTAGCGTGATATCCTGTACACTAGCACCAGACCCCGTGTTCTAGCGTGATATCCTGTACGCTAGCACCAGACCCCGTGTTCTAGCGTGATATCCTGTACGCTAGCACCAGGCCCCGTGTTCTAGCGTGATATCCTGTACACTAGCACCAGACCCCGTGTTCTAGCGTGATATCCTGTACGCTAGCACCAGGCCCCGTGTTCTAGCGTGATATCCTGTACACTAGCACCAGACCCCGTGTTCTAGCGTGATATCCTGTACGCTAGCACCAGGCCCCGTGTTCTAGCGTGATATCCTGTACGCTAGCACCAGGCCCCGTGTTCTAGCGTGATATCCTGTACACTAGCACCAGGCCCCGTGTTCTAGCGTGATATCCTGTACACTAGCACCAGACCCCGTGTTCTAGCGTGATATCCTGTACGCTAGCACCAGGCCCCGTGTTCTAGCGTGAGATCCTGTACACTAGCACCAGACCCCGTGTTCTAGCGTGATATCCTGTACGCTAGCACCAGGCCCCGTGTTCTAGCGTGATATCCTGTACACTAGCACCAGACCCCGTGTTCTAGCGTGATATCCTGTACGCTAGCACCAGGCCCCGTGTTCTAGCGTGAGATCCTGTACACTAGCACCAGACCCCGTGTTCTAGCGTGATATCCTGTACGCTAGCACCAGGCCCCGTGTTCTAGCGTGAGATCCTGTACACTAGCACCAGACCCCGTGTTCTAGCGTGATATCCTGTACACTAGCACTAGACCCCGTGTACGCTAGCACCAGACCCCGTGTTCTAGCGTGAGATCCTGTACACTAGCACCAGACCCCGTGTTCTAGCGTGAGACGTCCGGTGTGCTAGCGATAGATCCTGTGAGCGGGGGTAATCGGGAGGAGTGGTAGAGTATATATAGTGTTGGAGGAAGCGAGTAACCAGGCAGTAGGCTACCCGCGCTCCTCCACACAACACCCACCATCCCCGGACACCCACAAAATGGTGAGTATTTCTTAATGATACTGTATGGATACACGCTGAGAGGTGTACACAGCTTCTCGGTACATGTACAATGAAAGTTCACTTTTGTTCAGGACAATGTTCAAGACTTGCTGTTGGTCAGTAGAAGCTTTTGGTGGACTTAATAACCCACCAGGGAAAGAGGGAGTTGTAAGCCTTAGCACAACGCCTAATATTAAATGGTCTTGTGTGTGTTTTTTATTTCATACACGAATTCTTGATAAACACATTGGCCAGTTCTAAGTGGTGGTATGACACTATCAGGTGTGATGCGACTCGGTAGATGTTTAGTTTAGTTAATTTATAATGGACCCCATACCCATCCTGTGGGCAGTAGTGTAGAATGCTACAAAGGCACATGATGTGCTCAGGAACTGAACACCAAAATTCAGATAAACGCTGCTGTATGTGTAAGCAAAATAAAGTGTTATACATGTCTAACACGTCCGCCCCTTGGCATGTCTAACACGTGCGCTCCTCGGCATGTCTAACACGTCCGCCCCTCGGCATGTCTAACACGAGCGCTCCTCGGCATGTCTAACACGTCCGCCCCTCGGCATGTCTAACACGTGCGCTCCTCGGCATGTCTAACACGTGCGCTCCTCGGCATATCTGACACGTGCGCTCCTCAGCATATCTGACACGTGCGCTCCTCGGCATATCTGACACGTGTGCTCCTCGGCATATCTAACACGTGCGCTCCTCGGCATATCTGACACGTGCGCTCCTCGGCATATCTAACACGTGCGCTCCTCGGCATAGCTGACACGTGCGCTCCTCGGCATATCTAACACGTGCGCTCCTCGGCATATCTGACACGTGCGCTCCTCGGCATATCTAACACGTGCGCTCCTCGGCATATCTGACACGTGCGCTCCTCGGCATATCTGACACGTGCGCTCCTCGGCATATCTAACACGTGCGCTCCTCGGCATATCTGACACGTGCGCTCCTCGGCATATCTGACACGTGCGCTCCTCGGCATATCTGACACGTGCGCTCCTCGGCATATGTAACACGTGCGCTCCTCGGCATATCTAACACGTGCGCTCCTCGGCATATCTGACACGTGCGCTCCTCGGCATATCTGACACGTGCGCTCCTCGGCATATCTGACACGTGCGTTCCTCGGCATGTCTAACACGTGCACTCCTCGGCATATCTAACACGTGCGCTCCTCGGCATATCTGACACGTGCGCTCCTCGGCATATGTAACACGTGCGCTCCTCGGCATATCTAACACGTGCGCTCCTCGGCATATCTGACACGTCCGCCCCTCGGCATATGTAACACGTGCGCTCCTCGGCATATCTAACACGTGCGCTCCTCGGCATATCTGACACGTCCGCCCCTCGGCATATCTGACACGTGCGTTCCTCGGCATATCTGACACGTGCGCTCCTCGGCATATCTGACACGTGCGTTCCTCGGCATATCTGACACGTGCGCTCCTCAGCATGTCTAACACGTGCGTTCCTCGGCATGTCTAACACGTGCACTCCTCGGCATATCTGACACGTGCGCTCCTCGGCATATCTAATAGTGGCCCTCGAAGTATGGTGGGAAGCCAGCGTGACCTACACACGCACCTCCAGCACATGTCCCTTCCTCTTCCTGTGACAAAAAATCATAAAAATCCTTGAGTCACGGAAGCCTCTGCCGGACCTCACGCTTCCTCCGAAAAATATAAAATGTTAAACTGATAAACAAAACTTCCGCTTACCGTGTTTGTCAAAAGGGTAAAACGTAGTATAGAAATTAATATATATTTTTAGCACTACAGAAAGTTCAGCCACACCACTACGCACGTGGTATGGCTGGTGCGGAGGGTTCCCCGCCATTCATAGAGGGCCTAAATGAAGTTCAAATTTATCGCCCTCTACTTGCATGCATGCATGCATCCATCTATCCATCTATCTCTCTCTCCCTCTCCCTTTCTACCTATCTCTCTACATAGCTTTTTGCACGCATTTATCCATTTTGTTTAATATGTAGTGTGTATCCTAACTTGCGCAGCGAGGGTTGATCTCTGCCGATTGTAAACTTGAACCCGATGTACTGACCCACCCAGATGTATTGACCCACACAGATGTATTGACTCACCCAGATGTATTGACCCACACAGATGTATTGACCCACCCAGATGTATTAACCCACACAGATGTATTGAGCCACCCAGATGTATTGACCCACGCAGATGTATTGACCCACCCAGATGTATTGACCCACACAGATGTATTGAGCCACCCAGATGTATTGACCCACACAGATGTATTGACTCACCCAGATGTATTGACCCACACAGATGTATTGACCCACGCAGATGTATTGACCCACCCAGATGTATTGACCCACACAGATGTATTGAGCCACCCAGATGTATTGACCCACCCAGATGTATTGACCCACCCAGATGTATTGACCCACCCAAATGTATTGACTCACACACTCTGTACTGCTTCTTAGTCGAATAAATCACTAGTTTATTTTTCAGTTTCTGGGGGACTCTCTCTCCTTCATTGTATACTGCTGTTGGGGGTCGTACCGTGCTTGTTGCTAACCTAATAACCTATGGTGATCAGGGTTGTTGATGAACAGGTGTGTGTGACCACGTATAGACTACCAAGTTCAGATGAAGGAGTTCTGTGTACGGTACATATCCCGCCCCCGTCCACATTATCTCGCCTGTATACAACAATCCTGTCACCCACTCTCCCAGGTTTACCCGGCAGCATATCCTCGTCTATCCCCACCCTCCCCACTATCCTTCCTTCCTAGCCTCTCTCTCCTTTTCGCACACTATCCAGCACATACCTTTCCACCCCCTGTTCCTCCCCCCTCGGGGCGTTGCTCTAGAGTGCTGACCGCCGTGTGGGATTTTCCAGGGTGCTTCCACGCGTGGCCGCTCTCACGCGTTCCCTAATGACACGTTTCAGGCCACACAAGTCATAGCCAATATACACAAAATGAGTATTGACATTTTACCAGGAATGCGAGAGCTCAGGTCTGTCCAGGGGAGACGGGAAATAACTTTTTGCCACACGATTTTCGACACTGAAATATTATTTTTAAATGAATAGACTTGTTTTCTTAGGTGGTATAGGTAATATAATTGACTTTTGTGAGCATTAAATTGGGTCAGTTATTGTTTCAGCGACGCGTGGTGATGCTGGCAACAGTGGTGGCGCTGGTGGCAGGTCTGCCCGCCGACCTGGACACGCTGTCGGCGGTGGCGTCCTCGACCAGGGCCCCGACGGCGACCCCCCTCCTCGAGAAGGAACTGGAGCACATGCACATCACAGTATCCCAACCTCGTGACGGTGAGTGATGCGTGGTGATGGGCAGGTGTTGTGTGGGACGGCAAGTGGTGATGGGCAGGTGTTGTGTGGGACGGTAAGTGGTGATGGGCAGGTGTTGTGTGGGACGGTAAGTGGCGATGGGCAGGTGTTGTGAGGGACGGTAAGTGGTGATGGGCTGGTGTTGTGAGGGACGGTAAGTGGTGAGGGGCAGGTGTTGTGTGGGACGGTAAGTGGTGATGGGCAGGTGTTGTGTGGGACGGTAAGTGGTGATGGGCAGGTGTTGTGTGGGACGGTAAGTGGTGAGGGGCAGGTGTTGTGTGGGACGGCAAGTGGTGATGGGCAGGTGTTGTGTGGGACGGCAAGTGGTGAGGGGCAGGTGTTGTGTGGGACGGTAAGTGGCGATGGGCAGGTGTTGTGAGGGACGGCAAGTGGTGATGGGCAGGTGTTGTGAGGGACGGTAAGTGGTGATGGGCAGGTGTTGTGTGGGACGGTAAGTGGTGAGGGGCAGGTGTTGTGAGGGACGGTAAGTGGTGATGGGCAGGTGTTATGAGGGACGGTAAGTGGTGATGGGCAGGTGTTGTGTGGGACGGTAAGTGGTGAGGGGCAGGTGTTGTGAGGGACGGTAAGTGGTGATGGGCAGGTGTTGTGTGGGACGGTAAGTGGTGATGGGCAGGTGTTGTGTGGGACGGTAAGTGGTGATGGGCAGGTGTTGTGAGGGACGGCAAGTGGTGAGGGGCAGGTGTTGTGTGGGACGGTAAGTGGTGATGGGCAGGTGTTGTGAGGGACGGTAAGTGGTGATGGGCAGGTGTTGTGTGGGACGGTAAGTGGTGATGGGCAGGTGTTGTGAGGGACGGTAAGTGGTGATGGGCAGGTGTTGTGAGGGACGGCAAGTGGTGAGGGGCAGGTGTTGTGTGGGACGGTAAGTGGTGATGGGCAGGTGTTTTGTGGGACGGTAAGTGGTGATGGGCAGGTGTTGTGTGGGACGGTAAGTGGTGATGGGCAGGTGTTGTGTGGGACGGTAAGTGGTGATGGGCAGGTGTTGTGTGGGACGGCAAGTGGTGAGGGGCAGGTGTTGTGTGGGACGGTAAGTGGCGATGGGCAGGTGTTGTGAGGGACGGTAAGTGGTGATGGGCAGGTGTTGTGTGGGACGGTAAGTGGTGATGGGCAGGTGTTGTGTGGGACGGTAAGTGGTGAGGGGCAGGTGTTGTGAGGGACGGTAAGTGGTGATGGGCAGGTGTTATGAGGGACGGTAAGTGGTGATGGGCAGGTGTTGTGTGGGACGGTAAGTGGTGAGGGGCAGGTGTTGTGAGGGACGGTAAGTGGTGATGGGCAGGTGTTGTGTGGGACGGTAAGTGGTGATGGGCAGGTGTTGTGTGGGACGGTAAGTGGTGATGGGCAGGTGTTGTGTGGGACGGTAAGTGGTGAGGGGCAGGTGTTGTGTGGGACGGTAAGTGGTGATGGGCAGGTGTTGTGTGGGACGGTAAGTGGTGAGGGACAGGTGTTGTGTGGGACGGTAAGTGGTGATGGGCAGGTGTTGTATGGGACGGCAAGTGGTGAGGGACAGGTGTTGTGTGGGACGGCAAGTGGTGAGGGACAGGTGTTGTGTGGGACGGTAAGTGGTGATGGGCAGGTGTTGTGTGGGACGGTAAGTGGTGAGGGACAGGTGTTGTGTGGGACGGTAAGTGGTGAGGGGCAGGTGTTGTGTGGGACGGTAAGTGGTGATGGGCAGGTGTTGTGTGGGACGGTAAGTGGTGAGGGACAGGTGTTGTGTGGGAGGGCAGGTAGTGCTAGGCAGATGTGTGGTGAATATTTAGGATGGTGATCTATAAGTATAGTGAATATTGGGGGGATGGTGATGGGTAAGCGGTGAGTATTCAGGGTGATGGTAGATAAATGTGATGAATTCAGTGGATGATGATGAATAAGTGTGGTGAGTAAAGGAACTAGTAATAATGAACTATAATGTCAAATAGCAGCCTGTGATGAGGAAACACTTAGAGGTGTGAGGAGTGGAGAGGGAAGCAGAGACTCGCCTCCACACACCACACCCAACTACATAACACCTGTCTTCCTGGCCCGGAATTCACAGAGCCCCTAAGTATGTACTTACGAAACATGTATATCTTTCCTCGGTAATATCAGTTTAGTTTGCATTATAGGCCAAGGGCGGCCTCGTAACGTTTCCAAGCTCGAGAGGTTAAATACAGACTAAGCCACCATGATCGAGGATAGATGTACATGTTTCGTAAGTGGATACTGAATCCTGTGATGTTTACATTTTTCCTAGTGCTTGATTTGCTTGATTTTCCTATTGAAGGTGTGCATGGGAGATGAGGCATCTGTCTAGAAGGTTACAAGTTGTGTGTGTGTCCCGCAGTGATGTGTTACAAGTTGTGTGTGTGTCCCGCAGTGACGTGTTACAAGTTGTGTGTGTGTCCCGCAGTGACGTGTTACAAGTTGTGTGTGTGTCCCGCAGTGATGTGTTACAAGTTGTGTGTGTGTCCCGCAGTGACGTGTTACAAGTTGTGTGTGTGTCCCGCAGTGACGTGTTACAAGTTGTGTGTGTGTCCCGCAGTGACGTGTTACAAGTTGTGTGTGTGTCCCGCAGTGATGTGTTACAAGTTGTGTGTGTGTCCCGCAGTGATGTGTTACAAGTTGTGTGTGTGTCCCGCAGTGACGTGTTACAAGTTGTGTGTGTGTCCCGCAGTGACGTGTTACAAGTTGTGTGTGTGTCCCGCAGTGACGTGTTACAAGTTGTGTGTGTGTCCCGCAGTGACGTGTTACAAGTTGTGTGTGTGTCCCGCAGTGACGTGTTACAAGTTGTGTGTGTGTCCCGCAGTGACGTGTTACAAGTTGTGTGTGTGTCCCGCAGTGACGTGTTACAAGTTGTGTGTGTGTCCCGCAGTGACGTGTTACAAGTTGTGTGTGTATCCCGCAGTGATATGTTACAAGTTGTGTGTGTGTCCCGCAGTGATATGTTACAAGTGTGTACAAGTTGTGTGTGTGTCCCGCAGTGATGTGTTACAAGTTGTGTGTGTGTCCCGCAGTGATGTGTTACAAGTTGTGTGTGTGTCCCGCAGTGACGTGTTACAAGTTGTGTGTGTGTCCCGCAGTGACGTGTTACAAGTTGTGTGTGTGTCCCGCAGTGATGTGTTACAAGTTGTGTGTGTGTCCCGCAGTGATGTGTTACAAGTTGTGTGTGTGTCCCGCAGTGACGTGTTACAAGTTGTGTGTGTGTCCCGCAGTGACGTGTTACAAGTTGTGTGTGTGTCCCGCAGTGACGTGTTACAAGTTGTGTGTGTGTCCCGCAGTGATGTGTTACAAGTTGTGTGTGTATCCCGCAGTGATGTGTTACAAGTTGTGTGTGTGTCCCGCAGTGATGTGTTACAAGTTGTGTGTGTGTCCCGCAGTGACGTGTTACAAGTTGTGTGTGTGTCCCGCAGTGACGTGTTACAGGTTGTGTGTGTGTCCCGCAGTGACGTGTTACAAGTTGTGTGTGTGTCCCGCAGTGACGTGTTACAAGTTGTGTGTGTGTCCCGCAGTGACGTGTTACAGGTTGTGTGTGTGTCCCGCAGTGATGTGTTACAGGTTGTGTGTGTGTCCCGCAGTGACGTGTTACAAGTTGTGTGTGTGTCCCGCAGTGACGTGTTACAAGTTGTGTGTGTGTCCCGCAGTGATGTGTTACAAGTTGTGTGTGTGTCCCGCAGTGATGTGTTACAAGTTGTGTGTGTGTCCCGCAGTGACGTGTTACAAGTTGTGTGTGTGTCCCGCAGTGATGTGTTACACGTTGTGTGTGTGTCCCGCAGTGACGTGTTACAAGTTGTGTGTGTGTCCCGCAGTGATGTGTTACAAGTTGTGTGTGTGTCCCGCAGTGACGTGTTACAAGTTGTGTGTGTGTCCCGCAGTGACGTGTTACAAGTTGTGTGTGTGTCCCGCAGTGATGTGTTACAAGTTGTGTGTGTGTCCCGCAGTGACGTGTTACAAGTTGTGTGTGTGTCCCGCAGTGACGTGTTACAAGTTGTGTGTGTGTCCCGCAGTGACGTGTTACAAGTTGTGTGTGTGTCCCGCAGTGACGTGTTACAAGTTGTGTGTGTGTCCCGCAGTGACGTGTTACAAGTTGTGTGTGTGTCCCGCAGTGACGTGTTACAAGTTGTGTGTGTGTCCCGCAGTGACGTGTTACAAGTTGTGTGTGTGTCCCGCAGTGACGTGTTACAAGTTGTGTGTGTGTCCCGCAGTGACGTGTTACAAGTTGTGTGTGTGTCCCGCAGTGATGTGTTACAAGTTGTGTGTGTGTCCCGCAGTGACGTGTTACAAGTTGTGTGTGTGTCCCGCAGTGACGTGTTACAAGTTGTGTGTGTGTCCCGCAGTGATGTGTTACAAGTTGTGTGTGTGTCCCGCAGTGACGTGTTACAAGTTGTGTGTGTGTCCCGCAGTGATGTGTTACAAGTTGTGTGTGTGTCCCGCAGTGATGTGTTAAATCTTTTAGGATGGCTAATATTTATGTTTTTAAAGCGGAGCCCTCGTTTGTGTCCTCACCTAACTACTTGTCTTAATAACCACTTCAGTTACTTGTCTCTCTTGACCGGTTCCAGGACGTCTGTTAGGCTGACCGAGGTCCCCCCACCTCGCCGACCACTGGCCTTGCCCAGGATGCAACCTGCACTAGTTGCCTATTTATTGTTAGATAAACACAGGCATCTGATGAAATGAAACGTAGCCAAACGTAACTGTCCTGTCGCATGAATCGAACCCGGGTCCATTAGGTTGTAACCCGACTCCGCTGGCCTCTGTGCTCCAGGTGCGTCGGGGTAGTCTGGGGAGGTATTATGTATGGCTCGTTGGTCCATTTATTTGTCACTGTTCTAAAGTCTACCTCTTAAGAGATTTCTACGATGCTCGGCTAACGATGTTTGAATGTTTGCTTTACAAGCAAACTTTGTTTGCTTTGTTTGTTTTGCGATGGTGAGTATTTTGGCTGGTGGAGAGTGTTGGAGATGGTGATGGGGAGCAATGCTCTGATAGTGCATTGTATTGGAGGCAGTTTAAGGTCATTTTTTGTGATATAATGGCAGTCTGTGTAAACCACATCCCGTTCATAACACACAGTACGTTGATTACCGCAGGTGAATACGGCGTGGACGTGTACCAGGAGAGTGCCGACGACCTCAGCCGCCTCCCGACCACCATGCTGACGCTGCCTCCGGGCTGGCACCTCCCTGGGAAGGAGGACTCTAGGGTAGTGCATGCTGAGCTCCTTTCTTCCGGCGATGTGGTCGTCGTCGTCTTCAGCCTTGAGAATGGACTCGATGTCGTCCTTCTTAACAAGGAGCTCTTCCTACCCAACAGCTCCACCTCTCCGTTGCAAGCCATCGTGTTTCCTGAAGTATCTGTTCCGTGGCACCCGACCCTCTCTACGCCTGCAGATAAGTGGCCATGGACGTCATCGGATGTGGAGGAAATAACGCCGTCTTCGGTACAGTTCCCGAAACCCGAGAAGGTGGTGGGGCCCGTGTATTAGCGCGTAATTACCGACGTGCTCCAGTCACAAGCCTGAGGACCTATTTATGATGGCAAATATTATGCGTCTACAGCCTGGAGTCCGCGTGACACAGAGCCTTGACCCTTATACCGTGGAGCAGTTGATGGTATGTTCCATTCGGTCAGTCAGATTACAACCACACCACAGAGCCCACTGCCTCGCCATGGGCTTCCCTCTGGGTACGCATCACAGGCTTCCAGATATACGATACCTGCCACACATTCCGTACCATGTACCCACCATCTCACTGGAGATGGTTACACTGACAAATAAAGACATGTGTTCGGCACATTTCTTCATTTTCATACTGAGAGTCTGTCTGTCTGCCTGTCTAACACGTTACTCGGAATATATGCTTCAGTAAACATACTACAACATAATTCAGTTCATCATGAATAATTTCTCAAGCAACATTTGTTATTTCGTAGTACTTGTGCGAGAAATACTGTCTATTATTGTATGATATGACTCTGAGGAAAATACATATATTGAAGCTGTATACGTGTGTTAGTCTAAATACACATATATATACTTGATATTTGTGTATGTGTACGGGATTCACATACGGGATTTATTCAAAACTATTGAATATATAGTTTTAGCTCATGTTAATTATGGAATCAATTTATGAGATCTTCAAATCTACGGAACAGTTTTTGTTCCATAGTTTTAATGACATTTTAAACCAGTATGGAATAAGTTTGTCTGTTACCTTCTCACTTATTTATAGAATAAATTTGTTTGGCACCATTACAATTATCAATAAAACCACGAGACTTCTAGTTTGTGCTTTTAACTATTACACAACTTCCATACTTACGGACTACACACAGGGCCTGCTGGAGACTTCCGTGGCAGTGACGTTTAGGCTACTAAAGTCTAAGTCCTTGTTGGAGGCGGGGTGCGGGGGGCACCCGTCAGTGGGTGACACTGTGACGACACGTCAGTGGGTGACGACTGTGACAACACGTCAGTGGGTGACGTCAGTGGGTGACGACTGTGACAACACGTCAGTGGGTGACGTCAGTGACAACACATCAGTGGGTGACGTCAGTGGGTGACGACTGTGACGACACGTCAGTGGGGATGTTCTCCAGAAGGACTGAACTAAGCTGCCAATCACAACTAGTACACGAACTAATATTCTAAAACCCAGGTAAAGAGAGAGAGACCCGACAACATGATGCTCTAGCAACACGTCAATATAAACAAGTACAGGTCATAGTAGAGCAGCGTACAGGTTCCTACAGGTCAGTGAGGTCACACGGTGGCAAAACCTACCTGGCCGCTCACACGGGAACACATACACCTGGCCACATGCTGGAGTGTTATGACCACTATCACACGGAGACCCGTAGCAAGATCAGGTGATAAAAGTATAACACACAAACACTGTCCACCAGACAGGGAGGCCGCCACACGGGTACAAACACTGTCCACCAGACAGGGAGGCCGCCACACGGGTACAAACACTGTCCACCAGACAGGGAGGCCGCCACACGGGTACAAACACTGTCCACCAGACAGGGAGGCCGCCACACGGGTACAAACACTGTCCACCAGACAGGCAGGCCGCCACACGGGTACAAACACTGTCCACCAGACAGGCAGGCCGCCACACGGGTACAAACACTGTCCACCAGACAGGGAGGCCGCCACACGGGTACAAACACTGTCCACCAGACAGGCAGGCCGCCACACGGGTACAAACACTGTCCACCAGACAGGGAGGCCGCCACACGGGTACAAACACTGTCCACCAGACAGGGAGGCCGCCACACGGGTACAAACACTGTCCACCAGACAGGGAGGCCGCCACACGGGTACAAACACTGTCCACCAGACAGGGAGGCCGCCACACGGGTACAAACACTGTCCACCAGACAGGGAGGCCGCCACACGGGTACAAACACTGTCCACCAGACAGGGAGGCCGCCACACGGGTACAAAAGGAATTTAGAGACTCAGGCTGAAATTAAATTCAAATACATTTATTGAAATATAAATACACTAAAATGATGAGCCATCTCGCGATATTCTCACCAAGGCAACGTATATATATATATATATATATATATATATATATATATATATATATATATATATATATATATATATATATATATATATATATATATATATATATATATATGTCGTACCTAGTAGCCAGAACGCACTTCTCGGCCTACTATGCAAGGCTCGATTTGCCTAATAGGCCGAGTGATTTTCTTTATTTTCAATAAATCGTTTCCAATTAGTTTATTGGAATTATTATTATTATATTATATTAGGAACATAAATTATTGACTTAGTTGTGTTAGTTTAGGTTAGGTTAGGTTAGGTTAGGTTAGGTTAGGTAGGGTTGGTTAGGTTCGGTCATATATCTACGTTAGTTTTAACTCAAATTTAAAAAAAATTACCTATACATAATGAAATGGACAGATTTATCATTTCATAAGAAAAAAACTAGAAAAATATATAAATTCAGGAAAACTTTGCCTATTAGGCAAATCGGCCCTTGCATAGTAGGCCGAGTGCGACGTTCTGGCTACTAGGTACAACATTATATATATATATATATATATATATATATATATATATATATATATATATATATATATATATATATATATATATATATAAACTGCACCTGGAGGCACTTTAACTATTTCCAACTACATTACCTTATAAGGCGCTTCTTAACTTGTTAAGAAAGTTAACTTCTTAACTTTCCAGTAGGGTCCCTCGTGGTCCCCCTCGGGTATACTCAGTATATTGACAGTATTATCAGCCTGCAGCACATACCAGGATGTGCTGGAGTATACTGAGTGACGGTATATCACTCGTGTACAGTAATGTGGACTTAACACACACAAACATCGTTCTTGTTCAAGCCAGAAAAGCAAAGAAAGTGCAAAAAGTTTGCAAGTGATAATTTTTTTTTCTTAAATAGAAAAGAATCATTGACGATAATAATAGAGATTAATGCTTTATGTTAATGTAAATTATACTAAAAGTTTATTATTCGTTCTAACGAAAGAGAGAGAGAGAGAGAGAGAGAGAGAGAGAGAGAGAGAGAGAGAGAGAGAGAGAGACAGACAGACAGACAGACAAGCATGGAGAAATATACAAACAGATAGCCTATAAGACATGTATAATGAAAAGAACATACATGATCAAAGATTCAGAGAGAGGAAGTGAGCGAACATCTGAAACCTAACAGGAATAGTTTGCCAAAAGGGGACCAAATCTTGGCTGACGACTGACAGGCGCCTCACAAGGAGCTCATCAAGACCCACAAGGGCGTGGCGGGTGTCCTAAGACCTCACACCAAGGCCAGCAGATGAAGCCAGGAAGCCTTGTGGGGAGCAGATAACAGTCCAGGAAGTCAGGAGGTGAATACAACAACGAATGCAGAAAATAAGAAATAGGAAGATTGAAGTTCAAGAAGGAAGGTGTTAAAGGAAATCAGGAATCTGATAACGATGTGCAGAATTTAAGATGTCGGGGTCACGATTCATCAAGCATTCACCAGTCCAGTTAAGAGACCTGTATCTCTTACCTCGACCGGAGCAGCTCAGAATGTATTTACCAAACAATGTATGAGCTCCGAAGCGATACCAGGTCGCCCACAATAATAATAACACTAGGCTATATATGATCATTTATATGACGATGATAGACACGAAAGGTGACAGTAACATTGATGACACAATGACAATGTTGGTGGCAAGCGAGGTTATGTTGACCTGGTGACACGGTCACAAGGACTGAAGCCTGGCAGATGATGGCACGGAGTGTGAGGTGGACCTGGTGACACGGTCACAAGGACTGAAGCCTGGCAGATGATGGCACGGAGTGTGAGGTGGACCTGGCGACACGGTCACAAGGACTGAAGCCTGGCAGATGATGGCACGGAGTGTGAGGTGGACCGGGTGACACGGAGGACTCAGATTTGAGCGCCTGTGAGCCAGTCTGGGGCGGGAGTAAGGTCAAGGCGACGGGACATGAAGGCGAGAGTGTCCTGGATGCTGTGTAACTCAGCCTCCACCAGGGCCGCCCGCCGCGCCTGCACACCGCCCACGCCCGCCTCCACCCTCGACAACTGCAATACCATGAATCACTTATACAAACACATATATATGTATATATATATTATCTTATTTTGATCAAAATAAGATAATATATTTCGGCACAATTTATAATAAATGAAATAAGAACATACTAGAGTTTAGATAATTTCTATGAAATTATAGAAAAGCAAAACGAAACATCTAGATAAAAGAACAACAAAAACATCTCTAGGTGAATAAATGAACAAAATACAATTTTTGTAGTCGGTCACGTTCACCACATCACCTTGGCGTCCTGTCACAAACACCTTCACGCTGAACAGTCGCCTCTACCAACCACACACACACACACACACACACACACACGCGCGCGCGCACACACACACACACACACACACACACACACACACGCGATTTTTCAGGCATCCCTGTTTACAGGAGTTGTAGCTGATGTGTGGAAAAAGGCTAACATAGTTCCAATCTACAAAAGTGGATGCAGGGAAGACCCCCTTAATTATAGACCGGTATCATTGACAAGTGTAATAGTCAAAATATTGGAAAAAATAATTAAAACTAAATGGGTAGAACACCTGGAGAGAAATGATATAATATCAGACAGACAGTATGGTTTTCGATCTGGAAGATCCTGTGTATCGAATTTACTCAGTTTCTATGATCGAGCCACAGAGATATTACAGGAAAGAGATGGTTGGGTTGACTGCATCTATCTGAACCTAAATAAGGCTTTCGACAGAGTTCCACATAAGAGGTTGTTCTGGAAACTGGAAAATATTGGAGGGGTGACAGGTAAGCTTCTAACATGGATGAAAAATTTTCTGACCGATAGAAAAATGAGGGCAGTGATCAGAGGCAATGTATCGGACTGGAGAAATGTCACAAGTGGAGTACCACAGGGTTCAGTTCTTGCACCAGTGTTGTTTATTGTCTACATAAATGATCTACCAGTTGGTATACAGAATTATATGAACATGTTTGCTGATGATGCTAAGATAATAGGAAGAATTAGAAACATAGATGATTGTCATGCCCTTCAAGATGACCTGGACAAAATAAGTATATGGAGCACCACTTGGCAAATGGAATTTAATGTTAATAAATGCCATGTTATGGAATGTGGAATAGGAGAACATAGACCCCACACAACCTATATATTATGGGAGAAATCTTTAAAGAATTCTGATAAAGAAAGAAATCTAGGGGTTATCTTATCTTGAGGTTATCTTGAGATGATTTCGGGGCTTTAGTGTCCCCGCGGCCCGGTCCTCGACCAGGCCTCCACCCCCAGGAAGCAGCCCGTGACAGCTAACACCTAGGTACCTATTTGACTGCTAGGTAACAGGGGCATAGGGTGAAAGAAACTCTGCCCATTGTTTCTCGCCGGCGCCCGGGATTGAACCCGGGACCACAGGATCACAAGTCCAGCGTGCTGTCCGCTCGGCCGACCGGCTCACTGGGGTGGTTCTAGATAGAAAACTATCACCTGAGGACCACATAAAGAATATTGTGCGAGGAGCCTATGCCACGCTTTCTAACTTCAGAATTGCTTTTAAATACATGGATGGCGATATACTAAAGAAATTGTTCACAACTTTTGTTAGGCCAAAGCTAGAATATGCAGCGGTTGTGTGGTGCCCATATCTTAAGAAACACATCAACAAACTGGAAAAGGTGCAAAGACATGCTACTAAGTGGCTCCCAGAACTGAAGGGCAAGAGCTACGAGGAGAGGTTAGAGGTATTAAGTATGCCTAAACTAGAAGACAAGAAAAAGAGGTGATATGATCACTACATACAAAATAGTAACAGGAATTGCTAAAATCGATAGGGAAGATTTCCTGAGACCTGGAACTTTAAGAACAAGAGGTCATAGATATAAACTAGCTAAACACAAATGCCGAAGAAATATAAGAAAATTCACTTTCGCAAACAGAGTGGTAGACGGTTGGAACAAGTTAGGGGAGAAGGTGGTGGAGGCCAAGACCGTCAGTAGTTTCAAAGCGTTATATGACAAAGAGTGCTGGGAAGACGGGACACCACGAGCGTAGCTCTCATCCTGTAACTACACTTAGGTAATTACACACACACATATTTTAGGGGTCTCGCGGCTGAGTGTACAGCACTTAAGGGTCGTTGTCCTAATGGCCCGGGTTCGATTCCCGACGGAGGCGAAAACAAATGGGTAAAGTTTTTTCACCCTGATGCTACTGTTCACCTAGTAGTAAATAGATACCATGGAGTTTGACAGCTGCTACGGGCTGCTTCATGGGTGTGTGTGTCCGTGTGTTAGAGATATATGTAGTAGATATAATAGAGGACAAATAGATTGGTTAGAAAGGCGGGGTCCAAGTGTTAATAGCACGAGTCTGCAGGCACAAATAGTAAATACACACCACATAAGAAGGCTCACAGTTCAACCCGGTCTCTTGATTTACCACAACGTACAAAATACAGAGTGCTAACCTAACCAGAGACGCACGAGCCCAACCCACCCACCTAACTGAACCCAAAGATACATAGAAAATTTATAAATTTTAATTGTTATTTGTGAGCCGTTTCTTATCACAGAACTTCGTGCAATGGAGACTATAACGTACAGCATGAGACGTATTAGTTGGGAGGACAGGTCGCACAGTCAACGTCTATTGTATAGACAAAAGACAACAAGCTGGTAGAAAATTATGGTGAAGTCTCCGAGGAACTAGACCAGATATTCTAGGCGCCAGATCCACAGAGCACCACAGGCCGCCACAGAGCACCACAAGCCGCCACAGAGCACCACAGGCCGCCACAGAGCACCACAGGCCGCCACAGAGCACCACAAGCCGCCACAGAGCACCACAGGCCGCCACAGAGCACCACAGGCCGCCACAGAGCACCACAGGCCGCCACAGAGCACCACAAGCCGCCACAGAGCACCACAGGCCGCCACATAGCACCACAAGCCGCCACAGAGCACCACAGGCCGCCACACAGCACCACAGGCCGCCACAGAGCACCACAGAGCACCACAGGCCGCCACAGAGCACCACAAGCCGCCACAGAGAACCACAGGCCGCCACAGAGCACCACAGGCCGCCACAGAGCACCACAAGCCGCCACAGAGCACCACAGGCCGCCACGCAGCACCACAGGCCGCCACAGAGCACCACAGGCCGCCACAGAGCACCACAGGCCGCCACACAGCACCACAGGCCGCCACAGAGCACCACAGGCCGCCACAGAGCACCACAAGCCGCCACAGAGCACCACAGGCCGCCACACAGCACAGGCCGCCACATAGCACCACAAGCCGCCACAGAGCACCACAGGCCGCCACACAGCACCACAGGCCGCCACACAGCACCACAGGCCGCCACAGAGCACCACAGGCCGCCACAGAGCACCACACACTCCACACCAACAGTGCGCCACTAACCACTTCTCACCACAAGTACATCCACTCCACCGCCACTCAGCGCTCACCCGCCCTGGACGGACGCAGACAGTCGCTTCAGTATTTGTGAATATGGAGTGATAAACAAGCAGTTCGAGAGTTGTAAACAATGATTGGAAGTGCCGCGTCATTCAACATCACCAATCAACGGGCGACATCTCCCGTCACGCAGGGTGCAGTCGCACCTTTACAGATCTCCAGTATCAGCACTTGATACTGGTAATGGCTCAAAAGGCCACCACTTACGGGCTATTCATGCCCGTGCCACCTTTTGGGTGGCGTAATCTTCATCAATCATCAATCAATCAATCACCAATCATGCAGTCATCGGCAGGAGAAACCTTCACGCAAATTGTACGGATCGCAAAGAAGTTATCAACAACTTGGCGAGCTAAAAGTAAACAACGACAAGGAGAGTTGTTGCTTGTGAGTTGCAAACAAGGGGAGATGTTGCTTGTGAGTTGCAAACAAGGAGAGTTGTTGCTTGTGAGTTGCAAACAAGGAGAGTTGTTGCTTGTGAGTTGCAAACAAGGAGAGTTGTTGCTTGTGAGTTGCAAACAAGGAGAGTTGTTGCTTGTGAGTTGCAAACAAGGAGAGTTGTTGCTTGTGAGTTGCAAACAAGGAGAGTTGTTGCTTGTGAGTTGCAAACAAGGAGAGTTGTTGCTTGTGAGTTGCAAACAAGGAGAGTTGTTGCTTGTGAGTTGCAAACAAGGAGAGTTGTTGCTTGTGAGTTGCAAACAAGGAGAGATGTGCACAGTGAAAAGCCAAGAAATAAAAAAAATACAGAAAAGTGTAAAACCTGAATGGTAAACAATTTACGAAATAAAAAGAGAGAAGAGAGAACATGGGAACATAATAAAGAATGGGAACTAGATCACAAGAATAATTAAAACAAATATTAAATAAAGGGCTGAGAAAAAACTGAATCACAAAAATAAAACAAGTAGAAGTCAAAGTTGACAAATATATCACGATAAAGGAAACGAAAGGAAATAAAAATGTTAAGGTCACGACATGAAAAAAAATACGAGAAAATCAATGCCTGATAAATAAGGCAAGAAAATATAAGGCGTATATGAAGGAGGAAGTGTGTAGGCCTAGAGGCTGAGGTGAGTAGGCCTAGAGACTGAGGTGTGTAGTCTCACCTCCTGTAGTCTGTATAAGGTGAGGTGAGTAGGCCTAGACTGCTGTGATTCCTGTCCTTTTTTTTTGGAGGAAATTTTGAAATATTTCGTAAAATCTCACAGGGACCCCCCCCCCCTGTCTGACACATGGGGGGTTCCACAGGGGACGCCCCCCCAGGGGACCCCCCCAGGGGACCCCCCAGGGGACCCCCCAGGGGACCCCCCAGGGGACCCCCCCTGACTAACACATGATAGGGTTCATTTAGCTGTAGGGTTAATGAATAATAATTAACTCATACTTTAGAATATAATTTTACAAGAGTATTTATTGTTTATTTCTATTTAATAATTACAGTTACAACAACAAATGTTTGTTTCATTTAACATGACTCACTGGTTGCAAACATTGTCCTCATATTTTGTAATGATTTTAATTTATTGTGTCGGGGGACAGGTAGCCAGTGTACATGTACTGTACATGTCAAGCTTATATCCCCCCCCCCAGGATGCAACCCCACACCAAGCTAACTCCTGGGTACCTATTTACCGCAAAGTGAACAAAGGCATTAAGTGATAGGAAACGCGCCCAACTATTTTTGTCCAGCCCGGGATTCGAACCCAGGGTTGTCGATTGTGATTCGAGAACGATCCCGACTGTACTACCGGGACCCTAATGATTTAATGCTTATATAAATGTTAGTTATAAAGTTGTTAAGAGGAAATATAAGTTACATTTTATAGATTTATAATACTTTTGCAATTGAAAAAATACAAGATTCAATGAAACGAGATTAAGTCTAATTGTTAGGACTGAGGTGAGTAGGCCTAGGAGGTGCGTAAGTCACTCATTAGACTCTCCACTTGGATTTAATATGTCTCTTTTACTCATTTAATCTTGTCTCTTACTCATCCAGGGCTATATTCATCCACCTGTATCTTGTTTCTTTACACGATGGTCTGGACGCCTGTATAGTGGTGAGGAGAGTGTGTGTGTGACCTGTCACACCCAGGTCTACCTGTCACACCCAGGTCTACCTGTCACACCCAGGTCTACCTGTCACACCCAGGTCTACCTGTCACACCCAGGTCTACCTGTCACACCCAGGTCTACCTGTCACACCCAGGTCTACCTGTCACACCCAGGTCTACCTGTCACGCCCAGGTCTACCTGTCACACCCAGGTCTACCTGTCACGCCCAGGTCTACCTCTCACACCCAGGTCTACCTCTCACACCCAGGTCTACCTGTCACACCCAGGTCTACCTGTCACGCCCAGGTCTACCTGTCACACCCAGGTCTACCTGTCACGCCCAGGTCTACCTGTCACACCCAGGTCTACCTGTCACACCCAGGTCTACCTGTCACACCCAGGTCTACCTGTCACACCCAGGTCTACCTGTCACACCCAGGTCTACCTGTCACGCCCAGGTCTACCTGTCACACCCAGGTCTACCTGTCACGCCCAGGTCTACCTGTCACACCCAGGTCTACCTGTCACGCCCAGGTCTACCTCTCACACCCAGGTCTACCTGTCACACCCAGGTCTACCTGTCACACCCAGGTCTACCTGTCACACCCAGGTCTACCTGTCACACCCAGGTCTACCTGTCACACCCAGGTCTACCTCTCACACCCAGGTCTACCTCTCACACCCAGGTCTACCTCTCACACCCAGGTCTACCTCTCACACCCAGGTCTACCTGTCACGCCCAGGTCTACCTGTCACACCCAGGTCTACCTGTCACACCCAGGTCTACCTGTCACGCCCAGGTCTACCTCTCACACCCAGGTCTACCTGTCACGCCCAGGTCTACCTGTCACGCCCAGGTCTACCTCTCACACCCAGGTCTACCTGTCACACCCAGGTCTACCTGTCACACCCAGGTCTACCTGTCACGCCCAGGTCTACCTGTCACACCCAGGTCTACCTGTCACGCCCAGGTCTACCTCTCACACCCAGGTCTACCTCTCACACCCAGGTCTACCCAGGTCTACCTGTCACGCCCAGGTCTACCTCTCACACCCAGGTCTACCTGTCACACCCAGGTCTACCTGTCACACCCAGGTCTACCTCTCACACCCAGGTCTACCTGTCACGCCCAGGTCTACCTGTCACACCCAGGTCTACCTCTCACACCCAGGTCTACCTGTCACGCCCAGGTCTACCTGTCACGCCCAGGTCTACCTGTCACACCCAGGTCTACCTGTCACACCCAGGTCTACCTGTCACACCCAGGTCTACCTGTCACACCCAGGTCTACCTGTCACACCCAGGTCTACCTGTCACGCCCAGGTCTACCTCTCACACCCAGGTCTACCTCTCACACCCAGGTCTACCTCTCACACCCAGGTCTACCTGTCACGCATAGGTCTACCTGTCACACCCAGGTCTACCTGTCACACACAGGTCTACCTGTCACACCCAGGTCTACCTGTCACACCCAGGTCTACCTGTCACACCCAGGTCTACCTGTCACACCCAGGTCTACCTGTCACGCCCAGGTCTACCTGTCACACCCAGGTCTACCTCTCACACCCAGGTCTACCTGTCACACCCAGGTCTACCTCTCACACCCAGGTCTACCTGTCACACCCAGGTCTACCTGTCACGCCCAGGTCTACCTGTCACGCCCAGGTCTACCTCTCACACCCAGGTCTACCTGTCACACCCAGGTCTACCTGTCACACCCAGGACTACCTGTCACACCCAGGTCTACCTCTCACACCCAGGTCTACCTGTCACACCCAGGTCTACCTGTCACACCCAGGTCTACCTGTCACACCCAGGTCTACCTGTCACGCCCAGGTCTACCTGTCACACCCAGGTCTACCTGTCACGCCCAGGTCTACCTGTCACGCCCAGGTCTACCTGTCACACCCAGGTCTACCTCTCACACCCAGGTCTACCTGTCACACCCAGGTCTACCTGTCACGCCCAGGTCTACCTGTCACACCCAGGTCTACCTGTCACGCCCAGGTCTACCTGTCACACCCAGGTCTACCTGTCACGCCCAGGTCTACCTCTCACACCCAGGTCTACCTGTCACACCCAGGTCTACCTGTCACACCCAGGTCTACCTCTCTACCTCTCACACCCAGGTCTACCTGTCACACCCAGGTCTACCTGTCACACCCAGGTCTACCTGTCACACCCAGGTCTACCTGTCACACCCAGGTCTACCTGTCACACCCAGGTCTACCTGTCACACCCAGGTCTACCTGTCACACCCAGGTCTACCTGTCACCCCAGGTCTACCTGTCACACCCAGGTCTACCTCTCACACCCAGGTCTACCTGTCACACCCAGGTCTACCTGTCACAACCAGGTCTACCTGTCACACCCAGGTCTACCTGTCACACCCAGGTCTACCTGTCACACCCAGGTCTACCTGTCACACCCAGGTCTACCTGTCACACCCAGGTCTACCTGTCACACCCAGGTACCTGTCACACCCAGGTCTACCTGTCACACCTAGGTCTACCTGTCACGCCCAGGTCTACCTCTCACACCCAGGTCTACCTGTCACACCCAGGTCTACCTCTCACACCCAGGTCTACCTCTCACACCCAGGTCTACCTCTCACACCCAGGTCACACCCAGGTCTACCTGTCACACCCAGGTCTACCTGTCACACCCAGGTCTACCTGTCCACCCAGGTCTACCTGTCACACCCAGGTCTACCTGTCACACCCAGGTCTACCTGTCACACCCAGGTCTACCTGTCACACCCAGGTCTACCTGTCACACCCAGGTCTACCTGTCACGCCCCGGTCTACCTGTCACGCCCAGGTCTACCTCTCACACCCAGGTCTACCTGTCACACCCAGGTCTACCTGTCACACCCAGGTCTACCTCTCACACCCAGGTCTACCTCTCACACCCAGGTCTACCTGTCACACCCAGGACTACCTGTCACACCCAGGTCTACCTGTCACACCCAGGTCTACCTGTCACACCCAGGTCTACCTCTCACACTCAGGTCTACCTCTCACACCCAGGTCTACCTGTCACACCCAGGTCTACCTGTCACACCCAGGACTACCTGTCACACCCAGGTCTACCTCTCACACCCAGGTCTACCTCTCACACCCAGGACTACCTGTCACACCCAGGTCTACCTGTCACGCCCAGGTCTACCTGTCACACCCAGGTCTACCTCTCACACCCAGGTCTACCTGTCACACCCAGGACTACCTGTCACACCCAGGTCTACCTGTCACACCCAGGTCTACCTGTCACACCCAGGTCTACCTGTCACACCCAGGTCTACCTGTCACACCTAGGTCTACCTGTCACGCCCAGGTCTACCTCTCACACCCAGGTCTACCTGTCACACCCAGGTCTACCTCTCACACCCAGGTCTACCTCTCACACCCAGGTCTACCTCTCACACCCAGGACTACCTGTCACGCCCAGGTCTACCTGTCACGCCCAGGTCTACCTGTCACGCCCAGGTCTACCTGTCACGCCCAGGTCTACCTCTCACGCCCAGGTCTACCTGTCACACCCAGGTCTACCTGTCACACCCAGGTCTACCTGTCACACCCAGGTCTACCTGTCACACCCAGGTCTACCTGCCAATCACCTTGGTGTATTACTTACCTGCCGTTCGAAGCGAGCAAGGATGTCTTGCACAGTTTTCCTGAAGGAAGGCGGCAGGCTCGGCGTGTCATCCTGGCCTCCGTCTGAGCCTGCAGGAACACCCAGTGTGTCAGGGGGGGGGACATTGTCTTCACTATAAACATCATCATCATGGGCGACGTCCGCTCTCATCGGCGCTCTTCTACTCACGAGGCAAACTTTAGCTTTGCACTCAAGGCCAACTTATTGAATTTTTGACATTAATGTGGAATATTTCTGGTATATGACGTATATCAAGTACAGTAATGTAATGAGATTGCAATACGAGTTGATAATGATACTGATTTAGTGACCCGATGTTCTTTTCACATGTGGAATGCAAAATGATCTACGAACATAAATTTTAGCCAATCATGTGGAGTTTGGCAGCAGTTTGTAGGTGGTACATGCAGGTGATTGTAACCTTTCCACCGCCGCTCACTCTACAGGTGCCGGGTGCATGATAAGCTAATTATACTTGTATGTAACTACCTCAACTAACAGACTCTCACTCTATGTGTTCGGCTTTCTTGAGGTCACGGTGATGTTAGTTTGACAAACTGTGAAGATATTGTTGATTCATGTTAACAAACTCTGACTACCTCATCAAGGCCGTAAATTGTTTAGCTGAACGGATTTAAGGGTTCAATTCATGAACAGATTACATTCTTCTGTAATATTTTCCATTACCTCTCACAAGATAAATATAGGATGCATAAAAGAAAGTAAAAATATAATAACAAAGACATTGGTAAAAATATAATATAGACTCATTAAAGTTTGTTAAAAATGTGAATTTGAAATAGATGAGAGCGACTCGCCCAGCATCAGTGCACCAAACATCATAAACAGTCTTAAAAATAATGACTCACTGAAAGCCATAATTACAATTTCTCGCACAAAAATAAAATTGGAGCCAGTTAATTACCTCAAGGACATCAGTAACAGTGAAGGCCAGAGTCTCACCGTTGTGGTGGGCGGTGCAGAGATCTAAGAGGAGGGGCTGGACGGGCGTGGACTTGAGGGTGGTGGGCGTAAGAGGCACTAGAGCGCCCTGGGCGTCACGAACCCTGACGATGTTATGGGCGCAAGAGGGCACGATGTGGCCCTTATGCAGGGCCTCGAGGAGGGCCGCTTGAACCTCCCTAGCCGACCACTGTGGCCACATAGGTACTGACACCAACCGTTTGGCACCAATATTCTTCTCACCCTCGGCTGGACAAAACATAGTAATTATTTAAACGTACATCGCTGCCCACTGGATGGCGTGAGGCTCCTCACATACAGATAGAAACTAAATTTAAATGATTCAACATCAGTGAGAACTGCTTATCTTAAATAATTTGTGGCACTCTTTTTTGAACCCATTATGGCCCTCTGTACCCTCCTTGATCACCATTGGAATACACAATTTGCACCGTTTATAATATATATATATATATATATATATATATATATATATATATATATATATATATATATATATATATATAATATATATATATATATATATATATATATATATATATATATATATATATATATATATATATATATATATATATATATATATATATATATATATATATATATATATATATATATATATATATAATATTATATATATATATATATATATATATATATATATATATATATATATATATATATATATATATATATATATATATATATATATATACACATACATACATATATATACAAGACAACAAAGCGCAACTACTTCAGGCCACAAACGAATGGAGAAACAGCAACATCGACGAAAGTCTCCGTACTCGCATTGAACAACACCTCGACATCCTCACAGACCGACATCACCTCAGCACTGAAACAAGGATAATCAAGAAACTAACAACGTTATATGGAGGACCTATGGCAATTCCACGACCAAGAGATGGCTTCCTGAACCTTGCAGGAATCAACCTCACTGAGGACCAAGTCACTCTCCTAAATCTGGGTATAAACTGTCACGTTACGTCCAGACCAAGTGAGATGGCCCGGAAAGTGGAGTTGGAGATTTTGTTGGACGACATATTCGACCTCGAAGCACAAAAGAAGGTCACCACCAAAGATACCTTACAAGCAGAACTTATTGCGGAAGGAGGAAAGAATCGAGGCAACTACAGAAGCACCATACTGTCCCCCGAGCTCAAAGCGGCAGCTAAGAGCCTTCGTGAGAACAAGGAGATAGTTGTCAGGAAAGGCGACAAGTCGCCAATATACGTCATTCTTAAAAAAGACGAATATCTGGCGAAAATTAACCTAATACTCTCTGACCAAACTAAATTCCAAAGGGTAACGAAGGACACTACAGCCGAACTGAAAGCAAAGGTCAACAAATTGATCGAAACTGTGAACGCCAAGAAATCTGGACTCCACCTGCCAAAGATTATTGGGGAATATAAACCTGGATATGCGTATGGAAATGTCAAGACACACAAGCCTCGAAACCCACTTCGGCCAATCATCAGCCAGATACCCACACCCACGTACAGACTGGCGAAACGACTCAACGGCTTGCTGACTCCTTATGTCCCTTGCGCCTTCAGCCTGAAGTCTCCAAAGGAATTTGTTGACTTGCTGCGGGGAACACGGGCCACAGGGATAAGAGCCTCGTTGGACGTAGAATCTCTGTTTACCAACGTACCTGTGGATGAGACAATCAGGATGATAGCCGACAGAGTGTACCGTGATCCGGCCTGTACTCCTCTTAACATACCAGAAAACAGTCTAAGGAAACTACTCCAAGCTTGTACTAAAGAGGCACCCTTCTTGTGCCCGGATGGACACATGTATAAGCAAGTAGATGGGGTCGCCATGGGTTCTCCCCTAGGTGTCCTGTTTGCAAACTTCTACATGGGTACCATCGAGCAAAAAGTCTTAGTCGACATGAACTTGAAACCGGCCATATACTGCAGGTATGTTGACGACATTTTTACACAGGTACCTGATGTCAGACATCTGCAGGAGCTGAAAGAGGCATTTGAGCGGAATTCTGTGTTGCGTTTCACTTACGAGATGGAGAAGGATGGGAAGCTGCCCTTTCTAGACGTAACAGTCATGGAAAGGAGCGGAGTTTTCCACACTGCAGTCTACACTAAGGAAACAAACATAGGAATGTGCCTGAATGCCAACAGTGACTGCCCGGACAGGTACAAGAGGAGTGTTGTTAACGCTTATGTCGACCGTGCCCTCAGCCACAGCTCAGGATGGAAGCAAGTCGACGAAGAACTCTATAGGGTAAGGCAGGTTCTAGTCAACAACGGCTTCTCCAATGGTTTCGAGGAAGACATCATAAGAAGGAAAGTGAAACGCCATGCAACCTCTGAAGAGACAACTAACACAACACCTATACCCCCTATTAGACTATTTTACAGGAACTTCTTTTCCACAGCCCATAAAACGGAGGAAAGGGTCCTGAAAGATATTGTCAGTAGAAACGTTATCCCTACAGACAAAAATCAGAAGATACAACTGACGATTTACTATAAAACCAGAAAAACGGCCAGCCTACTCATGAGAAACTCTCCAGACACAAAGCAGAACGCTTTAAAAGAGACCAACGTCGTCTATGCCTTCAAATGCCCTCTTGGGGACTGTAAGCCTAAAAAAAAACAGTATATAGGCAAGACAACAACATCTCTTTCCAGGCGTTTAACGATGCATAAGCAACAGGGCTCCATTAAGGAACATATAATCTCTTCCCACAAACAAACCATCACCAGAGAAATCTTAGCAAACAACACAGAAATCATCGATAGATACAGCGATAGCAGGCGGCTTGACGTCTGCGAGGCACTACACATCAAGAAGTCAACACCAGCAATCAACAGCCAATTAATGCACAACTATATTCTACCCACTTCAAGACTCCGCTCCAATATAGAAGCATCAAGAAATATGGACCAATAGGCTTTCTACAATTACTTCCATTCAATACCCATTGTTTCGTGTTCTGTCTTGTGTTTGAATTTAATACCCATTCAATACCCATTGTTTCGTGTTCTGTCTTGTGTTGGAATTTAATACCCATTGAATACCCATTGTTGAAAGTTCGTTTTTCACCTCATCCACCTCACCCAAATGTAGATATAAACCTCGAAGATGTGTAAGCTCTATTCAGTTTCAGTTGTGTGTTTGTAAACTAAAGTCTTTGAAAATGTAATAAGTTTTACGAAACATGCTCAAGTGTCGCGTCAGACTAGAAATATATATATATATATATATATATATATATATATATATATATATATATATATATATATATATATATATATATATATATATATATATATATATATATATATATCGTACCTAGTAGCCAGAATGCACTTCTTGGCCTACTATGCAAGGCCCGATTTACCTAATAAGCCAAGTTTTCATGAATTAATTGTTTTTCGACTACCTAACCTACCTAACCTAACCGAACCTAACTTTTTTCGGCTACCTAACCTAACCTAACCTATAAAGATAGGTTAGGTTAGGTTAGGCAGGGTTGGTTAGGTTCGGTCATATATCTACGTTAATTGTAACTCCAATAAAAAAAAAATTGACCTCATACATAATGAAATGGGTAGCTTTATCATTTCATAAGAAAAAAATTTGAGAAAATATATTAATTCGTGAAAACTTACCTTATTAGGCAAATTGGGCCTTGCATAGTAGGCTGAGAAGTGCGTTCTGGCTACTAGGTACGACATATATATATATATATATATATATATATATATATATATATATATATATATATATATATATATATATACATATATATATATATATATATATATATATATATATATATATATATATATATATATATATATATATATATATATATATATATATGTCGTACCTAGTAGCCAGAACTCACTTCTCAGCCTACTATTCAAGGCCCGATTTGCCTAATAAACCAAGTTTTCCTGAATTAATATATTTACTATAATTTTTTTCTTATGAAATGATAAAGCTACCCTTTTCACTATGTATGAGGTCAATTTTTTTTTATTGGAGTTAAAATTAACGTAGATATATGACCGAACCTAACCAACCCTACCTAACCTAACCTAACCTATATATATAGGTAAGGTTAGGGTAGGTAGCCAAAAAAGCTAGGTTAGGTTAGGTTAGGTAGGTTAGGTAGACGAAAAAACATTAATTCATGAAAACTTGGCTTATTAGGCAAATCGGGCCTTGCATAGTAGGCTGAGAAGTGAGTTCTGGCTACTAGGTACGACATATATATATATATATATATATATATATATATATATATATATATATATATATATATATATATATATATATATATATATATATATATATATATATATATTTATATCTGTGTGTGTGTAAGTCATTAAAATTAACACGTGATGAAAAATGTGACAGTGTCAGACCATGGAGGAAGAATTGAAACTAGAATTTCTTTAAGTACTTTCGTATATTAATACATCTTCAGAAGGAATACATTCCTTCTGAAGATGTATTAATATACGAAAGTACTTAAGGAAATTAAGTGTAACTAAATTTACCTAATTCTGAACTTATCCAGTTTATATTCCTTGACTGTAATTATATATAAATTCTTAACCTTTGAATGCATTTTCAGAGAAATAATTGATTTAGGAGAGTTACCGTAGAAATATGTCCAAAGAAAACGGTCGGGACCACCTTGAGAGCAAACAATAATCGATCAATATCACCTGTTGCTTCAAACACAGAGAAACCCTTACAGTAACGATAATTATGTGATGGTACAATTCACGTGATAACGAAGACCATATATGGTAATCGGTAACGTTAAGAGTATGTGTAGACTTACCAGTGGCTCCATGTTTGTTGACAAGCAGCCAGAGCGTGAGCGGGGCGCTGTTGTCCATGGCGTCGACAGGACTCTTGGGGCCGGGGAGGACGGAGCCTGACGTTAGCACACCCTCACGTCAGTGTCTGCGTCACACCTCCCCACCAGGCACTACCCTGCCTCCTGGTCTCCACTACAGCACCGTCGTTAAGGCGCTGGTTGTCTGTTTTATCACTGTACACGGACACGTTTCGTAAGCTCAGTCTCTTAAGATAATGCTGTGTGGATATCCGTTCAGGCTATTTCTGTACTGCCAGCCGTCCTCATTAGCAGAACCTTCCACAGGGTGCTGTATATATGGATATATATTAACACTGGTTCTCTTGACATCTTGTAATTATTGGAAAATTTAACTCCTGAATTTCAGCTAAGCAAGTTACAACTGTCATCAGGTAGTTATACAGTTCCTTAACAAATAAATAAACAATATCTTCACAGGTTATAAAAATAGAATCACCTTGACGTCAAGAGTGAGAGTTTGAGAGTGAGTTTACCACATAAAGTAAGAGTTTGCTAGTTGAACTAGTAACATAAAATTTAAATTAGGTTATCATGCATCCCAGAGAGCAATCATCACCTGCATGCAGTTTGCAAGCGGAATATATTTGACTAAAATCTCTGATAGTAGATAATTTTGCATGAATTACTTCACATTTCTTGAACATTTGGAATAGTTACTTCATTTTTTTTAATTTGTTCACATTTCATCACATAATGACGTTGGGTGTGCAAATAATTTTGCTGACATTGAAGTCTTAGGACGCGAAATTTGGCTGTTCTTAATTAAGATGCCTTCTAGAATGTGCACGTGAGCGCGTCGTTACGTCTGTGACTCAACTGTTTAATCACCGAGGAAGCAACATGGTCATGAATGAGAATGGAAAATATAATTTATCTGAATTACTAAAATATTCACTTTGCTTAAACTGGTTTCAGTAGGATACATCAACTGGCTATAATGTCTATATTGATGCCTCCTGTGCTCTCTTATCTCGAGTACTTTCCTCCCACTCAGAGGACCCCTTTCACCCTCAGAAAACACTCCCATCACCATCTACAACAACCATCCGTAATCACCTCCATGCATTTCAGGAAACGCTTCTATCCTATAAAGTCGTCAGGAACTCCTTCCACCTTCTACAAGATCACCTTCACCCACTACAAGACCCCCTTCCACCCCACTACGAGATACCCCCTCCTTCCTCTGTAAGACCATCTACTACATCTTCAGGGCCCTCTCAACCCACTATAAGATTCCCCTCCATCTTCTGCAAGACTATCCTCTCCTTTACACATCTTCTTCACCCTCTGCAAAACAGAGCACATCTCTACACATCTTCTTCACCCTGCACACTGTATAAGAAGCTTTCCGCACTCTACAAGACACCCTTTGCACAACAACGTTTCTCTCTCTTTAAGCATACTAGATTGCGCACCTGACTGTGCCCGGGTCTTTCTCTCTATCTCTCTCTCACCTCTCTTCTCCTATTCCCCCTCCCCTCTTTCACTTCTCTTCTCCTAACCGTATCTCCCCCTCTTCCATCCTTTCCACCCTCTCCTCAACATCTCTTCTCTCCTAATCTCCCCCTATTATCTCCTTTATTCTCTTTACATCTCCATCTTCCCCCCTCTCTTTCCCTTTCCTATTTAATTTGTTATATATATTCACCGACTTCCTGTCCCCGATAACAGGAATTATTAATATACAATAGTAATCCCTGCTTTCCTAGCAACGGTATTTTCTTTCAAACCATCCACTAGAATCTCTACCTGCGTTTCTGGTCAGACTCTTGACTTTCTATTGGATCTGGGAGCTCGCCCTCGCCCACTCCAGCCCACCACAGAAACCAATCGCAATCCTGCAAGTTCTTCATGTTTAAGAGACTGAATTAGTCACCCACAGCTAGGTGGGTGCCTTCTTTATTGAATGGTAACATTGCCCAAAATGGATTACAAAAACTACATTTGAATTTAGAATATATTAGATTCTTAACGAATAACAAGAGTTTTTTCCAAGGCACTAACTCTTCCTCTCAGTTTTATTAAACAATAGAGATTTTATACAAAATTTGACAATATCCTGAGTTACTTTACAATTTATTTAAAAATTTAGGTTTGTTTTATTATTTTTATAAAACTGTAATATAATATAGGTATAGGTTCAGTACTAATTGTAATATCTTAACATACTAAGAAGGTTAGGTTAGGTTGTGGTTTTCTATTCAGCTTTTCAGGTAAACTCAAATATTCACAATAAATTAGTATATCACATATACTTATTCATAAGCAAAATATTGACTATAAGCAAGTGCGAGAACGGGATGACAACAACGACACTTTCCTGCACCCTGGGAGATTATCCCTTTCAAATTTTAATCTGTTCCTTTCCAGCCAAGAAGTAAACTAAAGATCAGCCCAAGCTTCGCCTTAAGCTTTATTTATACTGTGTAGACAGCAGTACACGATAATATGGCGGAAAATTAGACACCCAACTGTTAGATGAAAATATAGGACTTGATAGTTGTCCAGAACGGACAGAAACGTCGTCACTTTCTTTATTTTCAGATGTATGGGTTGGGTGGTCATGGTCATGTTGACATTCTACTCACAACGGATATCATGTTTTCACCATGACATATTATAATAGTTCGTCAGTCGTCATCTGTTTTTTTTTTTCTGTACAAGAGGATGGGTTTGATACCCTTTACACATCTGAGTTGATTGCGTAGTTCTCCCGTGCATACAGTTTTTGAAGCATTCTAGTCATTTTCGAAGCTTCATTTCTAACGATTTGTCTAATATCAGTTGAAAATATATTTCCGTTGTTGGCTGTTTTTTTTATCTAATCTGCCAAACTCTGTCTTTACTTCCATTAGTTTATTTGTTATTTCTGAGTCGTAAAACCAGTTGTCGTGTTGAGTGTAGCTAATATTTCGTGAGGCTCATTTATTTATTTATATATACAAGAGTTCTTACATTCTTGTACAGCCACTAGCACTCAGAGCGTTTCGGACAAGTCTTTAATCCTAATTTTCACACACATCCCCAGGAAGCAGCCCGTGGCACCTGTGTAACTCCCAGGTACCTATTTACTGCCAGGTGAACAAGGGGGGGGGGCATCAGGGTGAAAGAAACTGCCCAGTCGTTTCCGCCGGGGATCGAACCCGGACCCTTAGGACCACAAACCACAAGCGCTGTCCACTGTGCCGTTAGGACTCCCTTAATAATTGTTATGCTCCACTCATAAATGCAAAACTATATATCTATATATGTGTAAACTACGAAGAAATTAACGCTTGATGGATAATGTGAAATATGTATAATCACGAAGGAAAAATAAACAAATTATGTGAGGGCTTTCATGTTAATCAACACATCTTCAAAAGTATAATCAATGAAATGCAATACTTGAATATATTGGCAGGTTAAGGAAGGTGACATGTGAGGTGACAATGTCTGTAATATTTAGTCAATGAACATAAAAGAGGAAACTGTAAATGGCCTAATTACCAGTACATGAGTTACTGGAAGCAATGTCTACTGGGATTGCTATCATTTGACCATCTTACTATGATCGTTTATTAATTGAACCATTAAAAATTGTACAAACCACTAAAAATATTCATGTTGCATTGCTTTGTAGTTTGTATAAAAACATATTCACTAATATTTTTATTTAAAATGTTTTTACAATTTGGTATTAAGAATAAACCTCTCCCAGTCAATTTGGCGAGAATTCTCTGACAATAAAGAGTTAGATTTGTGGCACTTCTTAAAGAATATTTACGCAACGAAATTCGAAATTTTCAAATCTTTGGATGTTTGACCTGCAGGATATACAATGTATCACAATCTTCACTGGATATTTTGTAAATGACGGTTATCACAACGATAACTATTTTTAATTTTCCAATTGTATTTTCATAGTTAAATGCTACATGTAGACCAAAACGTTTCAAGGCCTTGACAAGATTTTCGAATCTAGAAAAATGTTATGTATAATTTTTGTAACGATTTTTTTTGTACTGATTAATCGCACTACCTTCATACTTTTCCTACCTATATATTGACAGAAACGTGTCATTGGTCAACGTCACAATTTTAAACTTTTATGTTTGTTTTGAACCATCGTAAATGAATCAGAGGTTCTGTGGTTCGTCGCCTCCTTCTGCAGGAATGAGGGACGACCATCGTGAACAGTTTGGCTTCCCATGATATGGAAGGAAGTTGGTGCTATATTCCCACCCACACAGTCCGATTGATAGCTAACTATTCTTCCCTTACACTTCTGCCTCCTCTCCGTCTCCCCCTTTTCCTCTTCCTTCTCTTCCTGTCGGTGTCAGTCTCTTTTCATGTCTGTCTTCCTGTCACTCTTTCTGGTTACTCTGCAGGCCTATCTTTGTCTGTTTAATTTCCGTTGATCTCGTATACAAATAATATAATAATCAACCATTGACGAGTGGGTGGTCCACTAGTGGTCTGAAATATTAAACAATATAATAGTTACCCATTTGCTTTGAAAATGGCGGTGACTTGAGAAAGCCTTTCAAGCTGTGGGAGGATCGTCTGTTTTATGATACTACAGCCAATGTATTAATAACAGAATATTTATGTTAATTTACAAAGATTAGTGAATAATGGTGTACATTAGTATAAAAAAACTAGTTTTTAAACTTTTGTTTTCAAAATATTTACCTAGGTGCAGCTAGCAGGTAGTGCCAAAAATCGTCATGGGGGTCAGAAGTAATTATCAAAAGAAGGCACCAAGCCGTGAGAGTCGGAATGAAATCCTGGCCCACTGTTCCTTCTTGAATTCTGAAGACTCCGACCAGCCTATATCAGTCCATTACGTCTGCAAACTTGGGTGAGGCCAGCCCTATGTGTCTGGCCTCCAACATTGAACAGTCAAACAGATGATGTTGTTGTTTTAGATTCAGCTACTGGGAATAAAAGTTCCAAGTAGCACGGGCTATGGTGAGCCCGTAGTGGACTTACCTGGCACAGGAGCGGGGCTGTAACTTGGATAGACATTCTCTCTTATTATATAGGTATAGGAAGTAGACTAACACTAGAGGCCATCTGACTAACATACTAAAAAGTCCCTGTAGCACATCTATATTTTTCGGGGACTTTCAGTATGTTAGTCGGATAACTAAATACTAAATAATTGCACTTTTAACATGTTAGTCAGATAACTAAATACTATATAAATACTATAGATAAATATCTTGTTTGTAAATGTTTTTACCTAGTTATTATAAAACTACTGCACTATTAGGCCTATTGAGGTCCACTCTAGGCCACCTACTGACCATCCCCAGGATGCAACCCACAACAACGGTCTAATTCCCGGGTACTTATGCTACTGCTAAGTAAACAGAGGCATCAGGTGAAAGGAAACATGCTCAACCGTTTCTGTTCTGCCTAAGGATTGAACCCGTCGAGTTCCTCGGTTGAGAGCCGAGGACGTAGACCGCACATGTCTATCCATCTTTACCTTTGTTTCCATCTTCTACAGTCAAACTAATTTTAATATACAGTATTCTTATTGTCATCCATTCATTCATTTTGTGGCATGACGGTTCGTTGTCCAAGCCCGGGACTCGTAACCATCTTCATGACAGATACACACTATACAACAACTTTTTTATATTTATAACATGTGAAACGGACAATAGAACATTGCATGTCGTTTACATGGGTAGCAAAAATAAATTATAAAAATAGCAACATTCAAATTGATTCACTTTCAATTTACAATGTAAGAGGAACTAGTCTTGAGTGGCGTAGATACACAGTATAATATTATAGCAGTCACAACTTAATAAGGGGGGTCCTGAACTGGCCAAAACGTCACATTTCTTTATTTTCATATGTTGTTGTTGTTGTTTTAGATTTAGCTACTCAGAACGAAATGTCCATGTAGCACGGGCTATGGTGAGCCCGTAATAGTGTGAGGGTTATTCGCGATAACCTTGTTACTCTGATATTTGTGTCAAAGTTTTAGATGGAGGTGGGGTTTCTTCCTTTTTCCCCTGTTTCTTTTTGGCTTCTGTTTTAGTCGTGTTTTAATAACATTATCTTGGTGGCGGATGTAGATACAGAATGTTCACTAGTGAGTCCCATTTTTTAACGGCTTTTCTAATCATTGTAGTGGCTGTGGAATGTGCATCTAATGCAGCTGCTGTCGTTGGATTAATGTTTAGTTTGATGCGCAGGGCTTCAGTAGCTTCACATTCCAGTTAGTGCAATAGTGGCACCTCTAATTCTGTTCCACAGATATGACACTCTTTAACTATTGGGTTTATTACCTCCCAGCAGCACTTGTAACCATGTCTGAGTCTGTGTATGGCTACTGCAATGTCTCTGGATATCTTTTTGTCAGGCTTGAAAGAACAGTAACCAGTGGCTTGTTCGTACCATATCGCAGTGGATCTTCCTTCCGCTACTTTGGTTCTGTGGCGACTTTTGATAGTTGGGAGTATTTTCTTCTTGATTTGCTCCTTAATCTGTGAAAAACTTGGAGGTATTTGTACCTGTACAACAGGTAGAGTAGTGGCAGTTTGTGCTAGCGAGTCTGCCTTTTCATTACCATCTATGCCAATGTGACTTGGTATCCAATTTAGGGTGAGTGACAGCCCTAGATTATGGGCTTCTTTTCCTATATGTTGGATTTCTGTGAGGAGTTGTATATTATCTCTGTGTTGACTGGATAACAATGCCTGGAGCGAAGATTTAGAGTCGGTATGAATGATGACATCATGTAAATTATTCTCAATTGTATAGTTTATGGCCTACTTGAGGGCATATGCAATGTTGAGCACCCACTATTAATGTTCCAGTAAGCTTCATGGTTGTTAGTGTAAACTGCTGTCCCAGCAGAACTCTTTCTTGATCAACTGATCCATCTGTGAAGATGTGAGTCGTTGTCGGTCTTGAGATGGTTTCCATTTGTCGTTCTATGACTGCTTTGAGCTTCTGCGTGTCACATGCTGATTTTTTAACTGGTAATCCTTCAATGATAATCTTTAGACTCGATTCTTCCCATGGAGGAGGCTGCCGAAAGTGTTGATATGGTCTATCTTCTCCTTTGTTTTTAATGGTCAATTTCAAGTTCACTTTCTCTAGAATCTTTGCTAGATTATCCGTCCGTGCACTTGTTCTATATTGAAGGTTTCTCTGAAGCGATCTGTGTAAGCTGTCTTTGATTGACAGTCTGGCGGTGGTTCCAACAAGCTGGAACACCATAACAGCTGTGTTGCTGTTATGGTGGCTATCCTTTGTTTGACCCTGTTTTCTAAGGCTGGAAAGTTGGTTTTCATTCTTAGATTCTCTCGACGCGTCCATATAGCTGCTCCCAGCATTGTTCTGAGGGCATCATTTTCAGACACTTCCAGCTTCTCCCATTGGTTATCACTGAGGGATGTAAGAGCAGGAGCAGCATAGTCAATGAGTGACCTAACTGCTTGAACGTAGTACATTTTGAGTACTTATAGAGATGCACCCTCTCTAAGACTTGTCAGGGAGCGCAAAGCTGAGTTTCTGGCTTTACAACGTTGCGGAAGATATTAAATTTCTTGAGTGAATTTAAACTAGCTGTCTATTATGACTCCTAGGTATTGAAAAGAGGTAATCCACTGAATTTCATGTCCTTGTATTGTGAGTCTGATGTCTTGAGTTCTCATTTTAACGACCATTGCTTTTGTTTTATTGCTGTTTATTTTCACTGCTATGCGTTCCGCTTCTCTGCTGATAATATCTAGGCATTTTTGAGCATGGTTCCTGGCGCCTTTGCCATTGTTGATGACCACAAAGTCGTCTGTATAGTTAAGCAGTTTGGCTTTTGGTAACTTGAGCTTGATGAAGTGTTCCATGAGACAGTTGAAGAGGAAAGGGCTTAGTATTCCTTCCTGTGGAGTTCCATTTTCCAGCCTCTTTGAGTACGATGTTTTTCCTTGGAATTTGACTACAGCTTCTCGGTTAAGCAGGCTTCCTTTGGCAAAGGCAAGAGCGTGTCCTTTGATTTCCTTATCCACAAGGCAGCACAGTGTAACTGGAGCACTGGCTAACTCGAAGGCTTTTTCAAGGTCTAGAAAAATAAAGATTCCAGGTTTGTCATTGATTTGATCCAGAAGGGAGGTAAGACATGCTGTGGTTCCAACACCTTTTCTGTGAGCAAACATATTTTGGAGCAGTGGATTGGCTTTCCATTCAATTCGATTAAGAACCATTCTTTCCGCAGTTTTGGCCAGACAGCTTGTTAATGAGATGGGTCTTGGATTTCCTGGGTCCTTAGGTTTTGGAATGGGAACTATAATTGCACTGTTCCAAGAGAGTGGTCGGGTTCTTGTCACCCATACTCTGTTGATGAGATTCAAGAAGGCTTCTTCACCCTTTTCTCCTAGTTTGGCCAGCATATTGTAAGTGATTTTGTTCTCTCCTGGAGTTGTGTTTTTAGTTTTCTTTGTAGCTCTTCTGAGTTCTTTCAGATTGAAAGGTTGGTCTAGTTCGTCACGTAAGGCTAAAGCATCATCTATTTTTTTCCATCTAGCTGCTCGAAGTTTTTGTTGGTAAGTCAGAGCTGCTTGAGGAAGTTGAGTGGAACTGGCTCTTGAAGCAAATAGATTTGATAAACTTTCTGCTTCTTGCTCAGGATGAACATGACGTGCCGGATCAGGAAGCGATTTTCCTTTGGCCTTGTTGAGCTGCCTCCAGATTTTTCATATAAGAGAGTTGGGTTATTCAATTCATCACAAGATCCCCGTTGTATGGCCAGCGTGTGAGATGTATTTACCTGGAGAGGTTTATGGAGTTATCTTATTCCCAAAGCCCGGCCTGGGGCCAGGCTTGACTTGTGATAACTTGTTCCAACAGGCTTGAAAGGCCCCACACATCCGCTGATGTCTGCAGGCCCACACATCCACTACAATCCGGTTAGTCAGGTACTTCTTGCTGGCACATTTGTTCTGCTGTGGATTTTCAGTGGAGGAAGATTACATTGGTGTTCACTGTGTTCAACAGGCCTCATTCTGGAAGAGATCTAATCGAAATGCATCCTTTGTGACTTATGGTGATCTCGACAAGTTGCACCGCACTCTACAGTAGTGGTTAAGGCCGATATGGCAAGAGTTCCACACTACAGTGTTTCTCACTCCACTAGCGCATTTCACGGACTTTCTCTGAAGGTTTTTTTGAGGGTCCTGACAGGGCAGAGTTGTTCCTCTTCCAGTTGGTCTCTGATGACAACAGCATCGCGCATGAGGGGCGTAAACAACAAGTGGATGGGGTTGGTGTAGCTGAGGACGAGGAGCGCCAGCACCAGCGCATGCGCCTGGGGATAGCGACGAGGGGGATAAACATGAATGCACATGAGATTAAAGACATCATATGACTGGATAAAAAGAAGAGTTTTGCACTATGGACAATACAAATTATAGTGGGGCCAAAACGTAAGGTATATAATGAGAAAAGTATTTCTATTTGGGAAATAAGTTTAAGTCTAGTGGAATGAAGAACAATTAACTTTATATAAATAATTAATTGCTTTACGTATGGAACATTTGTGAGTTCCAGAGAAGCGAATAAAAAACAAGAGAATTAGCTCAAGTTGCTACAGTTTCCCAGTAAAAACAGTTACTGAACCTTTCATTATCAATGAACCCATTCATTTTATGAGTAAAATTACTACAATGACCGCCTTAAGAGAGGATGCCACGAGGAACGACTCCTAGAACTTCATGTAAATCAGTTGAGTATTAAGAAGAAAGTAGCCTACGAATTCCGAGATTGATGACTTTATAGTAATATCAAGTGAGCATGCAAGTGATTTGTGTGAAGAAAATGTAATATCAATTATTACTATAGGAGAGTAATGCCTTTGTGAAGCTTGACTGTTTATACAGTTGAGGAAGACCATTACCATACACTCATATTTTTATGGATGGAGGAAATTGACACCCGACGACTCGGGTGTCAATTGAATAGTTGTTGTTATAGATTCAGCTACTCGGAACAAGTTCCAAGTAGCACGGGCTATGGTGAGCCCGTAGTGGACTTACCTGGCATAGGAGCGGTGCTGTGTGTGGTATGGCGGGAATTGAATAGGGTTGTTCACTTGCCCGAAACGCTATGCGTATTAGTGGTTTTAGGTATTGTATGCACTAGCTCTATCTACATATCCAACACTATGTTTGTAACTCATCTTCTATGTATGTATACATTTTGATTTTGTACTGAATAAACATTTTGATTTTGATTTGATTTTGACTCAACACCGGTGCCGCTGAGCAAGACATGAGGTGGTGAGTGCGACTCACCACCTTTGAGATACTCACTGGGTAGTACATGTGTTGGGCCCACATGAAGTGTGGGTACTGCAGGAACATCAGGAGAGAAGACACCGACCCGTAGATCCCCAGCAGCCTGTTGAAGTGCTCAGCAGGGAATCTGGTGGTAAGAGGATACAGATATGTACAGGAGCTATGTACAGAAGAGTATGTATATATATATATATATATATATATATATATATATATATATATATATATATATATATATATATATATATATATATATATATATATATATGTCGTACCTAGTAGCCAGAACGCACTTCTCAGCCTACTATGCAAGGCCCGATTTGCCTAATAAGCCAAGTTTTCCTGAATTAATATATTTTTTCAAATTTTGTTCTTATGAAATGATAAAGCTACCCATTTCATTATGTATGAGGTTAATTTTTTTTTATTGAATTAAAATTAACGTAGATATATGACCGAACCTAACCAACCCTACCTAACCTAACCTAACCTATCTTTATAGGTTACATTAGGTTAGGTAGCCGAAAAAGTTAGGTTAGGTTAGGTTAGGTTGGTTAGGTAGTCGAAAAACAATTAATTCATGAAAACTTGGCTTATTAGGCAAATTGGGCCTTGCATAGTAGGCTGAGAAGTGCGTTCTGGCTACTAGGTACGACATATATATATATATATATATATATATATATATATATATATATATATATATATATATATATATATATATATATATATATATATAATACATATATATATATATATATATATATATATATATATATATATATAATACATATATATATATATATATATATATATATATATATATATATATATATAATATACAACAATTGTCAATGAGGAATGTTAAACGGTAAATTCAGTGTTTGTGACCTTGAGTAGTGTTGACCATACGCAAGATAAGAAGCAGGGATCACTTTAAACTGCTCATCAGCCACTTAAGTAATAACATGTCCATGAAGGACTAAGCGAGCACATCAAGCAAAAAGAGACACACACACACAATGTGTGTGTGCGTGTATTCACCTAGTTGTGCTTGCAGAGGTTGAGCTTTGCTCTTTCGTTGAGCTTTGTTCTCAATTGCCAATCAACCGCTAATAACTATTTTTTTTCACACACACACAGCTACCCCCAGGAAGCAGCCCGTACCAGCTGTCTAACTCCCAGGTACCTATTTACTGCTAGGTAACAGGGCATCAGAGTGAAGGAAACTCTTCCCATCTGTTTCCGCCGGCTGGGGGGGATCGAATCCCGGTCCCTAGGTCCACGAATCTAGAAGGCTGTCCACACAGCTACCAGCTCCTCCGAAGCTGTGTGTGTGTGTGTGTGTGCGCGCGTGTGCATGTGTGTGCATGCAGTACCTGATCCTGAGGTAGGCCGTGGAGACAGCGATGACGCAGGGCCTGGCCACCACCATGGCCACAAGGGAGATGTAGACAGCGAGAGGGCGAAAGACCAGGATGCAGGCGTAGGTGATGGTGGTGGCCAGGCTGCTGATCAAGAGGGGCCAAAATGGCGCCTGGATCTCCTTCACCCGTCGACCCACCTCACTGGGCGCTGTGGACGTACCAAGGTGAGGGTGTATGCGTAAGGTATGGTTAATCAACGGTGTATAGCGGCTGCAGGAAGCGTGCTTACTAAACAAATTTTGTGAATCCAGTTACATAATGAAGTGTGATTCAGATGATTCTCTATTTTCATGCCTGTTTATTTAGAGGTTTGAGGTTTCTCCTCACTTGCTATCACATATGTTATATAATGTTTTACTATTATTAAACACAGTATAAATGAAAGCCAGACATCCTTATTCCAGGCAGTGTGCCGTAGAGGCCACCAGTGACAGAAGAAGAGTGTCATGAGTGCCACAGGTGACAGGAGTAGTGTCACGAGCGGCATAAGTGGCATACTATCCTAGACTTACTGTCCCTGGCGCGCCGGACCATGTAGTCCGTAAAGGCTCCTCCCAGCGGGCCGAAGAAGACGGTGAAGAGGTTGCTGTAGCTGAAGAACATGGAGTACAGCCCCGCCTCCCGCACACTGCACGACGACCCTGCCACAGCACCAATCACATTTAATTCTAATAATACACAACAACCTAACAATAAATAAATATGTTTCGGTAGTTGCTTGTAAGCAATGAAGTGTATCCCAAGAGACCGCGCGCCTCAGAATACAAACGTGGTGTCTAATGGGCGCTGGGCGTGTAATTATTTCACGCTGCTGTAATGGGTATAGGGAGTTTAATGAAGGAGGATGAGGAAAAGGTGGAAGCGAATGTATAGAAGATGGAGGAGAACAAATAGAAAGGGGTGTGAGGTGGGGGAAGGGAGAGACATAAAATAATAGAAGAGTACAGAAGGAGAGGAGACAGGGAGTTGGGGATACCAGGTCTCACCATGTTTATAAATCTTATTTTAAATCTGATCACAATTTGGCCACAATGCTGAATGCTGTTAATTATGCAGCACTGGGTCAAACCACTATAATTTTCTCAGCCAATCTGCAAGTCGGACTCTCAAACAGGTATCAGAGGTTTAAATTAACTTACATTATTGCAGTTATAAAGAAATTGCATCTTTAACAACAGCAACTTTCCTTGCATCAGTATATACGACTCTTCACAATTTTTAAGCATACATACACAAGAGTTCTCCAGATATTAACAAATAACATTATACGCACACAAATTTGGTGGCAACAATTCTAATTCTGACAAAACCACACCAGGATACGTCATAAAATACTGAGAGATATTTCTCTCTCTGGTAATTACTGAAGCAATATGTATCAGTATTTACCAGAGAGAAAATTACACATGGTAATGTTACTAACCTGTAACCCAGACGTTGTAAGTCTGTTGGTAGACGTTGATGGCGAAGAGCATGATGAAGAACCAGAACTGGTGGAGGTAAGAGGACCCAGACCACAGGCTCTTACCCAGGGGCGGAGGATCTTTTGTTGCCTCCCTCGTCTCATCTGCAGGAGGTTGGTGGGTTAGTGTCGGGGCGAGACCATGCGTGCAGCCATCACAGACACACTCATCTACAACAGCCCGCAGGAGCGTGTCTGTTTCCCTACTGAAGATTTGTACCATCATTCCAGTAACATTTGCTGGTAGAACGTTCGACTCTTCCGACGTTCATACAATATGTTTAATTGTATTAATGTTGCACATCTTTTTCACCAACTTTATCCTACATCTTCTATCTGTCACTCCAGTAGGTTGCTATTTTTTATGCAAATTCGATTGCTTGATGTTTAAATATGTTGCATCCATTGATTATAAGATTCCTACGCTGAACGGGACAAGTAACGAAGCTGAAATTTCTCATCATTGTGTATCTTATGTGCCAGTGCATATTGGAATACCTTCTTATATCTTGATGCACAATGGTCTGGGTTAATATCTTCCGATCTGTTCAGTATGTTAAATGTCTCGACGAGATCAGCTCTGTTGTACTTTAGATAATAGTGTTGTTAGAATATACTCATTAGTATAATGAGAACTAAATACCTTATTGTATTCTGAGTACCAGTGTCAGTGGTATGATGCATTTTTAATATATATACAGAATACATAAGAATACTCGCAATTTATTTTTTCGAATTCATTAACATTTAAATAACAATAAAACAAAAATAAAAAAACATTATTAATACAAATTATACAGAGGATCAGATACATAAATCTCACAGGGATTCATTCCCTTGTTTCGTGTGTATATTGTATGTGTATATGTATTTCGTGTGTATAGTGTATATTGGTCAAGCACCTTGAAGAAGATGGGAGGGTTGTATTTTGAGTGTGCATGTTTGAGAGAGCAGAATGGGTTTATCACTAGCTCTTGAAAACATTTTTGTAAGTTCAGAGTCGTGTGAGAGTTGTATTTTTGTTCGTTTACTTACGGTGATTTTATAAATTCATTTTAAGTAGTCTACTATCAACTTGGCGAGTCTATCTTCGTTTTCTTTGTTAGGATATTTGAAATGTTTCGGGGGTAACCCTCGTCCGTAAAATCGCCTGTGCTCTCTGATATTAGACTTTTGTAGTCCTTGTTCTCTAGTATAACCTTCAAAGGATACCTGATTAACCAGGTTGTGACTCATAAGTCAAGCTGTGAGCAGCCGCATCGAACAGCCTGGTTGACCAGACCATAAACCACAAACTGTTATCATGTTAGTTCCTGTGGCGCAGTGGTAAAGCAACTCCTGGTTCAACTTTGAAGTCGAGCAGACGTCTGGACACCTCCTCCGCCTGGGGGCCGCCTGATCACGTCTTGTTTTCGCGTTTTGGCTTTGCTACTGCCGTTTGGCATCTCTTTTCAGCGGTCCGGTTGTTCGACGCCTGGCGCACATATCGCCTTGGATCACGGGAGTGTGATAGATTTTTTTTTTTTGACGTGTACTGGCTGGTTCTCCTGGCGGGGTGACGGTGTTCGGGGGCCGGCTTGGCCGAGAGGTGCCAGGGGTTGGTGGGTCTTGGTGGGCTCCTGGTGTGCCCTCAGTCGTGGTGGGCGGCCGGCTTCTGCTCTGCCGGAGGACACTGGATGACTTTTGCGTTTTGGTTGGGGGCCGAGTTTTGGTTTTGCTACCTGGTGTTCTCTGTGTGGGGCGGGGCCGGTGCTTGTCACCCTGAGGGACTCCTGGGACTCCCCAATCATGTGCCCGTCTGTGCGTTTATTTGCCGTATGGCATATTAGTTTCTAGTGATTGGCGTCACTCGTTTTGCGATCTAGCTTGGCGTTTCACCTTTCCTGGCTTCGCGATTCACCCTTAACAGGTACGCCGGGGCGCATCCGATCCCTCGATCGTCGTCGCCCCTAAATCAACAACAACAACAACAGTGGTAAAGCACTCGCCCGGCGCTTTGCGAGCTTTTTGGTCTCGGTTTGTATCCTAGCTGGGGAGGATTGACTAGGCGCCAATCCTTAACTGTGCCATCTGTTCACCCAGCAGTGAATGGGTACCTGTTGTTAAACGATTTGACGGGTCGTATTCCAGGGAAAATAAGGATTAAGGACCTGCCTGAAACGCTATGCGTGCTAGTGGCTTTACAAGAGTGTAAGAACTTTTGTATATAAATAAAATAAAATGTTCTTGAAGTCGGTTGTATTAAAGGTGTCTGTTACTATGTTCTTGAAGTCGGTTGTGTATCATAAATATTCTGTAAAAAAGTGGTCGATTATCTCTTTATTTGTCAGAAAATTGTCACCAAATTGATTGGGAGAAATCTTCCTCAACAAATTGTAAAAAAATTCTCAATAGAAGCATGAGTGAATCTGCTTTAATACAGATTACAAAGCCAAACAAAATGAATATTAGTAATAGTTTGTATAATTCGGCTTCATTTGTAAACGGATCAAAAATAATTTTTTATCAATTAAAAAAGATCTTTGTAAGATAATTAATGCATAGATATCCCATTAGGGCTCCTAAAAACACATATGTATTAGCCATTAGAAATATTACTTCCAGAAACTCACATATTTTGTCTAAATGAACAGTCATTAAAAGATATTTAAATGTGCTGCCTTCTTTCCTTTCTTCTCTGGTTATGATCTAGATATTAATATGTACATTTATATATACACATCGGTATACATGCCCTATTATTTCTGCTTTTTGGCAACGCTGAAAATATATAATCATTTTGGATAATCTTAAAACCTAAAAAAAGAAGATATTGTTGTTAATAAAGATGCCAATGAATGACTGGGGCATAACTGGCGGGGGGCACAGCAAAGTACCCAGGGCAGCCTGAACTGTTGGGTTAGCAGGCTGTGGCTGAGGCAGTGAAGGTCAGAGAGAGTAACTACGTCAGTGGTAGGGAGAAGAGGGTGGCGGGGGTGAACGTGAGAGTCAATACATACATATATCCAGAACTGGAATGTGGTGGACGGGCATTATAAAGCTGAGGAAGATACTGAGGGCGCTGATGCCTGCCAGGACCCAGCACACGTGGGCTCGAGCGATCCCTGCATCCGCCGTGTACTGCAGCACACAGTATATGTCAGTGCACTGGTTGTGAGAGAGAGAGGGAGAGGGATAGACAGAGAGAGAGAGAGAGAGAGAGAGAGAGAGAGAGAGAGAGAGAGAGAGAGAGAGAGAGAGAGAGAGAGAGAGAGAGAGAGAGAGAGAGAGAGAGAGAGAGAGACGGCCTGGTTGTCACGTAGGCCACCGTTCTCAAGGTTTCTCACCTGGCCCAGCTTGGGGACAAACAGAAGACTGATGCTGCGCTTTTCTCGTACTTGGAACATTTCTCACTACAAGTATTAGATATAATTCAGCCAAATGGCCACATGGCAGCACTTTCACAAAATGCCTTCAATTAAACCCAGTACGTAATGCGAATATAGCCGAACAAAAACAATTAATAAACAATTTTATTAAAGTATATACTTAATGCTTTACTATTCCCGCTCTAAATCCAAGTTTGGCCTGTGTTGTGGTCATTGGTCTCCATGAACCTGGTGACCTGACTCCTGATCACTCTCTCAAATACTATTATTATGAGTGACGTGCGCCTTCAACGATATGATGCACAATAAGAATTTTTATTTTGCAAAAGCTGCATTTGAATACTTATTAAAATTACATTGAGAACGAGATTTACTTAACAATAAGAGAGAGAGAGAGAGAGAGAGAGAGAGAGAGAGAGAGAGAGAGAGAGAGAGAGAGAGAGAGAGAGAGAGAGAGAGAGAGAGAGAGAGAGAGAGAAGGGGAGTGGAGGGAGGCAATACATGATAAATACATAACTAATATAGCAGACGATATTACACAGCATTATTGTCTTCCTCAACAACACTCTCCCTCACACCCATAAAAACCAGCATCCACCTTGCTTCCACCCCAACACCCTCCATCACACACCAACCCGTTCTCGCACTTGCTTATAGTCAATATTGGCTTATTAATACGTGCATATGTGACATACTAATTTATTGTGAATATTTTAGTTTACCTTGAAAAGCTTAATAGAAAACACCGACCTAACCTAACCTTCTTAGTATGTTAAGATAAGCATCTTATTGCTTCTTAATTACAATTATTACTTAACCTATACTTATTTTTATAAAACTGTAATATCAATATAATAAAACAAAACCAAAATATTTAAATAAATTGTAAATTAACTCAGGATATTGTCAAATATTGTATAAAATCTCTATTATGTACTGTCTTGTGCGAGAGCGGGTTGTAACACCAATCAACACCCTCCCACACACCACCAACACCCTCCCACACACCACCACACCCTCCCACACACCAGCAACACCCTCCCACACACCACCAACACCCTCCCACACACCACCAACACCCACTCGCCAAAGCCGGAATAAGCCATTCGACCCCAATTATCGAATACATTATGTGTCAACTTTGTGAAAGAGAAAATATGCGTTACTTTTGATGATTATATTATAGAATGTCCCATGGTGACTGACTTTCTGACCCCCTCCCTGGGTTGAGATATGCTGACCTCTGTAAATAATATCTGAAAACTGGAACACTCGATATACTGGAAGTGTACCCAAGATTTACTATGTTATGTATGTGATGTAATTAGAAGTTGAGCTTGTAAAGGCACCTTAATCACCTTCTGTGGTTGAGTGCTCAATGACCTACTAGTTTCTACAGCAGTTTTCTTACCCTCTGTCAAAATAAATGAAAATATACGCAGAAAATAACATTAATCACAATCGGTAATTAAGTACTCAATGATCAACTGTACTATATTTCGAGCCCTGTTTATGGATGACAGACGGAAGTGTGAGTATTGTACGTGTAATGGTTAGCATTGTAAAATCACTCCGAACACCTTATGTGGTCAAATGTTCAATGACTCACTATGTACTTTACCAGCTCTCTAACGCAGTCTACGTTGGACAGGCGACAAAGTATGAATACTGGTTAGCATTGTAACGGAACTACAATCACCTGTGGCCGAGTACTGAGACTACGTGTTGTCTACGTGTTGCACTACGTGTTGTCTGGCAGATCTCTCGCCCAGACCACGGAAGATAGAAGAAAATGCGTGTATGCTGCTTAGCATTGTCTAAATGTGTGGTCACGTCTGTGGCAGAACAAAAGCTAAAATCCAAGGTACCAGCACCCTGCCCCACACCAACAACACTGACCTGGAAGACGAGGAAGAGGGAGGCGGAGGCGGCGTACATGCCCGAGAGGAGGGTGATGGCGGTGGAGCGGTGGAGAGGGAACAGGTCCCCGAACTGCATCACGCTCATTCTCAGCTGGTTGCCGCCCAGAGCCATCAGGATCATTGCCACGAAAACCCAGTTCGGCGACTCTTGAGAGACAGACAGTTTATGATTAGTATCACAGTATCAATCATACTACAATGATTAGTATCACTGTAGCTATGGCTATATAGGTATGCGATACTGCTTAACTACGTGTGTGTGTGCGTGTATATGTGTGTAAACACCTTTCCCAGAGAGGGAGCAAGATATTACTATTTTTCATCTTGCTTGTAAGTATAATTTCCTTGTTGATGTGGCAGTGTATTAATCTGATTATATACTGGAAGTGTATTATATATATATATATATATATATATATATATATATATATATATATATATATATATATATATATATAATGTTATTTATAAATACTGCACAAGGTTCCAAAAAGAATACCTTGAAACTCCCAAATCCCTGACAAAACCATAATATACTGTTACCTGGTATACGGTACCTGATAGCCATAATAATTACACACCTTTCGTTGCCATTCCCAGGAAGAGGAAGCCCATCGACATCATCGTCCTGTAAAATTTTTATCAATGTTAATGTCTTTGATGTAATTTCACACACACACCACCGATGGCTAGAAAGGCTGGATCCAAGAGTCAATGTTCGAGCCTGCAGACATAAATAGGTGAGTACACACACACAAAGCTTTCTATGCTTCTAACTATTTTCTTAGTATCATTATTGAGAAGAGCAATCAAGTTACCAAAATTCATGGTAAGGAAACTAATAATTATCGAAGAATTTATCTGCTACAACGTTTCGTTCCTCTTCGGAACATTTTTAGGTAGAGATGAATACAAAAGTTGTTTTAGATTCAGCTACTCGGAACAAAAAAGTTCCAAGCAGCACGGGATATGGTGAGCCCGTCGTACTTACCTAGCACAGGAGATGTGCTGTGGTAAAACAATACATAAGGTAAAACATTAAACTAAATACACATGAGAAAGAAGCGAGGGAGTGTGAGGAGGTGATGGAGGCCACTCAAACTCTGAGCAAGACGTTGGGTTGGTGGGAGAGGAGACCTCGGTAGTGACTCATAGGTCTGCAAGAACCAGTATAAAGACCTATGATTAGTTTAGATCCAAGACCTGTGTATATGGGCGGCACAAAACGTCCAGGAAACAGTGCGACAGCGTTGTTGCCACGATCAGTCAGCTTGAGCTACCGTTACCTGTGGCAGGTGACGAATCTCCCAGTCCTGAGCATTCCTGGTGCAAACTCTGAACAGGAATTGGGTCATGATCTCATACACTACATTTTTTATGTCCAGTCATTAGATGCTTCAGACCTGCCGATATTAGAAACCTAGAGCTATGCAATCACTTTATTACCTCTCGTGTTCTTGAGGATATCTTCATAGTGCACCCAAAATTAACCAGCCCATGATAATGTCACATTTCCATGTATGACTAACCATCCTGCGAGATGGGGGGAATTTTTAGTATCATTGTTACTTTATTCACTCTCATGTTCTTGAGGATATCATCAATATGTATCATCAAAGAACCTTCTCCTTCACACATACACTGTGTGTGTGTGAAGGAGAAGGTTCAGAGGTTTGCCACCAGACTACTAACCGAACTGAGTGGCATGAGCTATGAGGAGAGACTACGGGAATTAAACGTCACGTCGTTGGAAGCTAGGAGAGTTAGAGGGGACATGATTACCACATACAAGATTCTAAAAAGAATTGATAAGGTAGACAAAGATAGTTTATTTAACACAAGGGGCACATGACCTTGGGAACACATGTGGAAATTGATTGCCCAAATGAGCCATAAAGACACTACAAAGAATTTGTCTAGTGTCAGAGTTGTTAATAAATGGAATGCATTAGGAAGTGATGTGGTGGAGGCTGACTCCATACACAGTTTCAAGTGAAGATATGATAGAGCCCAATAGGCTCAGGAACCTGTACACCTGTTTATTGACGGTTGAGAGGCGGGACCAAAGAGCGAAGCTCAACCCCCCCCTTCCCAAGCACAACTAGGTGCAACCCATCTTCCGAATTGACAGTACTTTTAATATTAAATGTAATAAGTACATTTTCTTACATGTTACACATAGTACATAATTGCACTTATGAGGCTGTTACATTTACCTCTCCATTTATTCTCCTCGTTTTCTGTTAAGACACTCAGAATTGTAAAGATGAAATTTTAAACTTCAGTTCGCGATGCACACGTTTTAAATATTAGGAATTTCTTTTTCAGTTTTATTAAACAATAGAGATTTTATACATAATTTCAAAATATCCTGAGTTACTTTACAATTTATTGAAATATTTTAGTTTTGTTTTATTTGTTTTATAAAACTGTAATATCAATATAGCTATAGGTTAAGTAGTAATTGTATTTAAGAACCAATAAAATGATTATCTTCAAAAACTAAGACGGTTAGATTAGGTCGTAGTTTTCTATTCAGCTTTTCAGGTAAACTCAAATATTCACAATATAATTGACAGTACGGTTTAATACTTAGTGAAAATAAGTACAATTCCTGACTGTCATACATTGTACATAACTGCACTTATGGGGCTGTTACATTTACCTCCCCATTTCTGGAGGACGAGCTGCTAGGTGAGTACACACACACACACACACACACACACACACACACACACACACACACACACACACACACACACACACACACACACACACCCAGTTGATTGACGGTTGAGAGGCGGGACCAAAGAGCCAGAGCTCAACCCCCGCAAGCACAATTAGGTGAGTGCACAGGGGGTGGAAGGGGGGCCAGGTAGCCTGGTGGATAGCGCGCAGGACTCGTAATTCTGTGGCGCGGGTTCGATTCCCGCACCCGGCAGAAACAAATGGGCAAAGTTTCGTTCACCCTGAATGCCCCTGTTACCTAGTAGTAAATAGGTACCTGGGAGTTAGTCAGCTGTCACAGGCTGCTTCCTGGTGTGTGTGGTGTGAAAAAAGTAGTTAGTGTAGTTAGTAAACAGTTGATTGACAGTTGAGAGGCGGGCCGAAAGAGCAAAGCTCAACCCCCGCAAGCACAACTAGGTAAATACACATACACACACACACACACGTTAGGCTTATATAAAGGCCCCGTCTGACCAAAGCACTGACCATCCTCCAGGCAGTAACCTCAGAACAACTGCTCAACTCCCAACCACTTCTCTCCCGCCGGGGATGAATCACGCGTCTTAATTAAGGAGTCGCGCTGACATCATTCCCGCCATCAAGGGCAAATGGCGCCGCTGAAGTTCTCGCTGCCTTCCTCATTCATCTCGGAGCAACAAGAATGTGTAGCGGCCATCAGCAGGCAGCATCATCAGACAGCATCAGCAGGTAGCATCAGCAGGCAGCATCAGCAGGTAGCATCATCAGACAGCATCAGCAGGCAGCATCATCAGACAGCATCAGCAGGTATCATCATCAGACAGCATCAGCAGGTAGCATCATCAGGCAGCATCAGCAGGTAGCATCATCAGGCAGCATCAGCAGGTAGCATCATCAGGCAGCATCAACAGGTAGCATCATCAGGCAGCATCAACAGGTAGCATCATCAGGCAGCATCAACAGGTAGCATCATCAGGCAGCATCAACAGGTAGCATCATCAGGCAGCATCAACAGGTAGCATCATAAGGCAGCATCAACAGGTAGCATCATCAGGCAGCATCAACAGGTAGCATCATCAGGCAGCATCAACAGGTAGCATCATCAGGCAGCATCAGCAGGTAGCATCATCAGGCAGCATCAGCAGGCAGCATCATCAGGTAGCATCATCAGGCAGCAAAGTATGCGTGTTAGCCATTCATTCACCTGGCAGGGAACTGGGTGCGAGCCCAGAGTGGTTCTGCAATTACTGTCTCATTCACACCTCGGTGGAGGCTTAATGCTGCTTGCTTGTGAGGCCGCGTTAATAATAGCCTTACGGCGTCGCATGGGGTGTCAGGCTCCTAGTACAGTGTGTGGGGTACAGGGCTACCAACCCCTTACTTTGAGGTTACCTTGAGGTGCTTCCGGGGCTTAGCGTCCCCGCGGCCCGGTCGTCGACCAGGCCTCCTGGTTGCTGGACTGGTCAACCAGGCTGTTGGACGCGGCTGCTCGCAGCCTGACGTATGAGTCACAGCCTGGTTGATCAGGTATCCTTTGGAGGTGTTTGTCAAATTCTCTCTTGAACACTGTGAGGGGTGGGCCAGTTATGCCCCTTATGTGAAGTGGAAGTGTGTTGAACAGTCTCGGGCCTCTGATGTTGATAATTCTCTTGAACACTGTGAGGGGTCGGCCAGTTATGTCCCTTATGTGTAGTGGAAGCGTGTTGAACTGTCTCGGGCCTCTGATGTTGATAGTTCTCTCTTGAACACTGTGAGGGGTCGGCCAGTTATGTCCTTTATGTGTAGTGGAAGCGTGTTGAACAGTCTCGGGCCTCTGATGTTGATAGTTCTCTCTTGAACACTGTGAGGGGTCGGCCAGTTATGTCCCTTATGTGTAGTGGAAGCGTGTTGAACAGTCTCGGGCCTCTGATGTTGATAGTTCTCTCTTGAACACTGTGAGGGGTCGGCCAATTATGTCCCTTATGTGTAGTGGAAGTGTGTTGAACAGTCTCGGGCCTCTGATGTTGATAGAGTTCTCTCTCAGAGTACCTATTGCAGCTCTGCTTTTCAACGGGGGTATTCTGCACATCCTGCCATGTCTTCTGGTCTCATGTGATGTTATTTCTGTGTGCAGGTTTGGGACCACTCACTCTACTATTTTCCACGTGTAAATTATTATGTATCTCTCCCGCCTGCGCTCAAGGGAGTACAGATTTAGGCTTTACCCTGACCCCTGACCTCTAGCTAGTCTTCCGATTAACGCAACTACTAAAACAAAGTTAACACTTTGTATCGAGATGTTAACTATTACAGTGTTTAGTTTATATAATGTATGTATTGGTGTCGTTAGAACTGTAACAATTATCATTCTTTGTCACGCTTCTTAACTTTTGGGGTGTCTAATGTACAGTATAATTATATTGATCAGTATTAGGCTACTATTATTTTGTCTTCCTTAAATATATAATGTTCTTGAATGTTGTAAACTTATTCAATTATTAATGCACAATCATTTATCAATACGTTATTGATGCGCCTGACAGCTGGGTGGACAGCGCTTCGGATTCAGTCCTGAGGTTCCGGGTTCAATCCCCGGTGGAGGCGGAGACAAATGGGCAAAATGTTTCTTTCACCCTGATTCCTCTGTTACTTAGCAGTAAATAAGTACCAGGGAGTTAGACAGCTGCTACGGGCTGCTTCCTGGGGTGTGTGTAACAAAAAGGAGGCTTGGTCGAGGACCAGGCCGCGGGGACGCTAAGCCCCGAAATCATCTCAAGATGATCTCCTTGAGAACCTCAAGGAGTGCGAACCAACTGCTTGAGTGTGAGGGTGAGTATGGGTGCTGGAATAAGTTCCACGTAAACAAACGCGTCTGGTTCAGTAGACTTTAGTAAGCCAACTTAGAAAGTTAATCAGTTCTTGCAACTTGCAGAGACGCTATGCTATGCAAAATTACCGCATAATGGCACACGCAGGTTCACACATAATAGTTCCCGCCAAAACTAGGGTCTCAAAATAGGGGTTAGGTTTACCCCAACGTTGACGTGTATGATACAAGTTGCAATACGTAACCACATCCTATATTAACAAGGGTCTATACCAATGAGGATGGGTCCATACCAATGTTATAAACTATGGTGATGCGTGGTTAACTTGTACAAGGCCTTCAAGCCTGTGGCGGGCTGAGAATTTGGACAATGTAAGACTACATTTTACATAATAAGTCAAGTCTCCGTTTCCTTCTCAATAGCAGCTTTCATTTAAACTCCAGCCGGGGTCAAGAACCTCGCCCAGAGAGGGTGACAGTCGAATCATGCGGTGTAAGTGAACAAATAGTGTTACAAATTGCAGAATAAGTTACACAAAAGGCTACGTGACCTTATAAGATCTCACCTTGAGGATTATAAGAAGCTGAAGTCTAATGCAGGCCACTTGAGAGGACACGTAACAAGTCTCTGGAGACAGGAGAGATACCAAAGAGCTGGAAGATAGCCAACGTCTTGTCAATATACGAAAAAGGAGATAGACTGGAGGCTGTAAATTACGTTCAAACCATGCAAGGTGATATTATTTATAAAAAGAAAATTGTTTGAAACTTCATCTAGAAAAAAGTGCACTTGAGACAAAGCCATAGAATGATTTAATGAAGGCATGTCAAACCATACAGAATTCTATGATTGGGTGACGTAGGTCAGGCACGACAGTGAAGGGCTGGCATACTGCAGAAACTGATAAAATACTTGGGCATATTGCAGACAGTCCAACAAATGGCTATTAGAATTCATTCACAGCAAGTGCAAAATAGCAGGAGTGGATGTCGAGGCAAAGTAGTCGAGCACAAGATACCATCTTGCAGGGGGTAAACATTACATCAAACATATCTTCTGAGCTACAGTATATATAAACCATGTAACACCAGCGAAATATACAAGCATGACATATGTAAGGAGATCTCTTAGGAATCTGAACACTTTACTCCACACATGCTAGATAAATTCTTCAGTAAATCCGAGATATAACTACGACGTACAAGATATGCAGGAAAGCCAGACACACTGACACGAGACGGGGCCCAACTAGGGGGGGACAGGCTCCTAGCCATTCAAATACATAGGAGCTCCTAGCGCCTATGTATTTAGCCGTCAGATGGCGGCTAAATACCGTATGTATCGAAACATTATACATAACTCTGATTGCGTAAGTCGTGGAGTGTACAAAAATAAAAGCTATGGAAGAAGAAGCCATACAAAGATTCTAAGAAAGTAAATATAACAAACCAAAGGGATTAGCGTAGAACTACATCAGTCATTGAAGGCTGAGACACAGGGTCTAGAAGAGTAGGTGTACTACGCCAACACCCTCCAGGCTCACCACACCAGCATCAACACAATAAAACAAAATCTGTAGAGGCTTCAAATATTTATACAAACACCAATTTTTTTGCAGGGATATGTCTAAGCCTCTGGCAGGCCCAATAATCTAGGAGATGAAGTTTGATCATGCAGATACAAACAGGCAAGTAAACACACACACACACACACACACACACACACACACACACACACACACACACACACACACACACACACACACACACACACACACACACACATACACAAACCTCAAGGTCAAAAGCAGGTGACGTACCCTGCGGACACCCTGGTGACCCTTAGGCCGGCGTGGTGGAGGAGGAAGCCCACGAGGACCGCGGGGACGCTGTAGCATCCTACCGTCACCGTGAAGATGAGGGCGAACCTCTCGTCCTGGGCCTCACACTGCTCAACACCCACCTGCACCAGGGAGATAGAGTAAGAAAATAAAGTGATGAGGAGAAAACACTAAGCCAGATAGTGAGATAGTAAATAATTATCAAAAGAATGCACCAAGCCAGGAAGACTATGCAACGCCGTTACCGCCTGCATCTGTGAAAGTCAGCTAGGAAGAGCTGGCCTTCACGCCCGCTGAGTTGGCATTCGCGCAGAGACAACAAGAGCTGCGTTGTGAGAAAATTGCTGTATGAGCTGCCAAGGTTTGCGTGACAGACCCGCGCTGACGAGGGTCGCAGTCAGACTCCGTTGACGAGGGTCGCAGTCAGACTCCGTTGACGAGGGTCTCCTCCACACACACACACACACACACACACACACACACACACATAAAAGCTTCACTTTTCTAGCATGTCGTTAACACAAGAGCAAAGGACGTAGAGGTTTAGGCATAGGAAATGTTCCATGCATGGAAATGATACTATATTATTTTGTTAAAAGACATAAAAATAAGTACAGCAAAGCGCCGCAGTTTTCGGAGGTGGTGTTGCCCCAGGTAGTCGCACACGGGAACTCGTCTGCACGTAATCACTGTGACGCCAATTTTGTTATGGACTTCAACTTCCATGACAGCTGGGAAATTCATTCTGACCCCAGCGCATGGATGCCATCCTCCATCACGATGTAAACATTTCTTTCCCAAGTAAAACGTACGGCTTAATTACGTCAGGTGTGCAGATTCCACACAGGTAGAAAATAGTTTCTCATTGTGTGGGACTGGAAGCCTATAACGTTTATTATAGTCCCCTTAAGGTAACAGTGGCCAAGCTATGGCACGTGGCATGCATGCCCCCTCCTGTATTCTATAAACACCCCACACCCCCCCAAAAAAATATATATATATATATATATATATATATATATATATATATATATATATATAGGGAAGGGAGAACCACCTCTGGCTGGAAGAAGGGGGACCCATAGCCTCGGAGGAAACCACACATAACGCATTGGAGGGAATGTAGGTCCCCTCCAATACAGTTTCTGTGTGCTTTTCTCCTACCACCCCCTTCCCTTATTTTTTTTTCCTTTATTGTGTATTTAAAGGTTACAAAACATACAAGACAAATGCCTAAAGGTTATGGATCTCTTGAAGCTCCTCCGCTTCTCGACAGGAACCGAGGACGCAGCAAGCATTATATATATATATATATATATATATATATATATATATATATATATATATATATATATATATATATATATATATATATATATATATTGTGTACACCCCAGAAGTGACTCGAACCCATACTGCCAGGAGCAACGCAACTGGTATGTACAGGACACCTTAATCCACTCGACCATCACGACCGGTCATAAGGAGGTGATAGCCGAAGCTATCACCATTTTTGATAAATATTTGGTGATTTGATAAAATACTATGATTCAAGCTTGTTCGCATTTGTGTTGCGAACAAATCAACACTCATTGACTATGCTGCCCTGCTTTTACATTCCTCAGTGATAACCAATGGGAGAAACTGGAAGTGTCTCAAAATGATGCCCTCAGAACAATGCTGGGAGCACCTATATGGACGCATCGAGAGAATCTAAGAATGAAAACCAACTTTCCAGCCTTAGAAAACAGGGTCAAACAAAGGGTAGCCACCATAACAGCAACACAGCTGTTATGGAGGCAGCGGCTCATGCAGCTAAAGCCTACATTGCCAACATTACAGATGGAAAAAGCCCTGATAAAACTGGACTTCAAAAATGCTTTCAATCTGGTAAGAAGGGATGCAGTGCTCAGTGCGGTTCATCGCTTTTTTTCCTTCCCTCTATTCGTTTGTAAATTCATGTTACAGCAAGAATCTAATTCTGTTATTTGGGGAACATGAAATTGAATCACAAGGTGTCCAACAGGGTGACCCCCCCCCCCTAGCTTCCTTTGTTTTCTGCCCAGTCATCAAGGAAGTCACCGATAACCTGTCCAGTGAGCTCAACATTAGGTTTTTGGACGATGGTGCTCAAGCTGGCTCGCAAGACTCCCTCCTGGATGACATAAGAATAATTCAGGAGCAAGGAGCAAGTCTAGGCCTCAACCTGAATTCTTCCAAGTGCGAAATAACCTCCACCAACTAGCACATAATAGAGCAAATAAATTTTGTTTCGCTTGATATTCATACAACCAACCCTGAGGACAGCACACTCCTAGGTGCTCCTTTTGGAAGGAATGCCATCGACGGGGTCCTTGGTAAGAAGATCACTGACCTGAAGAGGATGAACGAGAGGATTGAAGACATCGATGCTCATGATGCACTTTACCTCATCACCAGATGCTTGTCCCTCCCCAGGCTAACCTGCTTTCTTAGATGTTCGTTATCTTTCAACAATATTAAATTAGAAGAGTACGACAGCTTGCTGAAATCAATGCAAGAAAAAGTCCTCAACCTTTCTCTCAGCGACTCACAGTGGAAACAGGCCTCCCTTCCTGTCAGACTCGGGGGCCTTGGCGTGCGCACAGCAACACGAATTATTGCTGTACCAGCGTTCCTGTCCTCTTCAGTGGCACCTGACAACCTGGTGAAGGAAATCCTACCCGAGTACCTAGTTCAACGGGCAGGGGTACATAATCCCAGCTACACAGAATGCACCACCAAATGGGTCTCTCTCGCAGGACCAACACCCCAACCACTGCTTTCTGAAGCCCATAAGCAATCCAGCTGGGATCGCCCCATTGCCGACCAAGAAGCTGCGACAACACCACATGCCACTGCCCGATTTAGAGCTGTAGCAGCTCCCCATACAGGTGACTTCCTATTAGCAACCCCAATGTCAGCAACCGGCACGCGTCTCACACCGCAGGCCCTCCGAATTGCTGTGGCTCTCCGCCTCGCTGCCCCAATCCACGCCGAATACAGGTGTATTTGCGGCGAGGCAGAGGCCGACAGGTATGGACCGCATGGCCTTCTCTGCCAAAGGAAAGGAGGATGGCATGCAAGACACGGCGAGGTTAATGACCTTATATTTATTATAATGTCATATATATATATATATATATATATATATATATATATATATATATATATATATATATATATATGTCGTACCTAGTAGCCAGAATGCACTTCTCAGCCTACTATGCAAGGCCCGATTTGTCTAATAAGCCAAGTTTTCCTGAATTAATTGTTTTTCGACTACCTAACCTACCTAACCTAACCTAACCTAACTTTTTCGGCTACCTACCCTAACCTAACCTATAAAGATAGGTTAGGTTAGGTTAGGTAGGATTGGTTAGGTTCAGTCATATATCTACGTTAATTTTAATTCAAATAAAAAAATTGACCTCATACATAATGAAATGGGTAGCTTTCTCAGTTCGTAAGAAAAAAAATAGAGAAAATCTATTAATTCAGGAAAACTTGGCTTATTAGGCAAATCGGGCCTTGGATAATAGGCTGAGAAGTGCGTTCTGGCTACTAGGTACGACATATATATATATATATATATATATATATATATATATATATATATATATATATATATATATATATATATATATATATATGACATGTACCTAATTGCCTGAACTCACTACTTAGAATGCTATGCAAAACACGATTTGCCTAATAAGCCAAATTTTCCTGATATGTATTTTTCTAAAAAAAATTCTTATGAAATGATGAAGCTTCCTATTACATTATATATGTTTTAATATTTTTTTTATTTGAGTTAAAACTAACGTAGAAATATTACCAAATCTAAACTACCCTACCTAACCTAACCTATCTTAATCTAACATAAACATAACTAAGTCAGTAATTTGTGGTTTTAATATAATATAATAATATTAACTCAAGTAAACCAATTGAAATTTTGTTTGAATACGAAAATCACGGCCTATTAAGCAAATCGGGCCTTGCATACTAGGCCGAGTATTGCGTTCTGGCTATTAGGTACTACATATGTTTATATAAAGATTATCATTACTGCGAACTGAATCGGCGTAGGATTTTTTACAAACCAGAAGTAACAAGATGTATTTACAGATATCTCGCGACGGCTTCTGCGCCAGCTGGCAGGTGCGAGACTATGGGACGCCAGAGTGGGAAGCAAATATAGCAGAACAGCTGACAAAAGGTAATATGGTTCATGTAAATTTCTTTCCACTAGTCACCGATGTTACATCATTAGAGAGAGAGAGAAAGTTATGGGCTAAAGGTAAGGCGATTGGGAAATGTCGAGAGAGAGAGAGAGAGAGAGAGAGAGAGAGAGAGAGAGAGAGAGAGAGAGAGAGAGAGAGAGAGAGAGAGAGAGAGAGAGAGAGAGAGAGAGACAGAGAGAGAGACAGAGAGAGAGACAGAGAGACAGAGAGAGAGAGAGAGAGAGAGAGAGAGAGAGAGAGAGAGAGAGAGAGAGAGAGAGAGAGAGAGAGAGAGAGAGAGAGAGAGAGAGAGAGAGAGAGAGAGAGAGAGAGAGAGAGAGAGAGAGACAGAGAGACAGAGAGACAGAGAGACAGAGAGACAGAGAGAGAGAGAGAGAGAGAGAGAGAGAGAGAGAGAGAGAGAGAGAGAGAGAGAGAGAGAGAGAGAGAGAGAGAGAGAGAGAGAGAGAGACAGAGAGACAGAGAGACAGAGAGACAGAGAGAGACAGAGAGAGACAGAGAGAGAGAGAGTGTGTGTGTGTGTGTGTGTGTGTGTGTGTGTGTGTGTGTGTGTGTGTGTGTGTGTGTGTGTGTGTGTGTGTGTGAAGGTATATTGCACAAGCCGTGCTGGGGTGTGCAGCGACACTCCGGCAAACATTAACTTTCCCCCAGTCTTTCCCAACCACTTGGGCAAGAGAATTATTCGCCTACCCTGCATCATACCTTCCGAAAAAATGGAATCTAGAAATAACTATCACAAATGTTCATGATATATATATAAGTATTTAGCTCAAAATTATCGACTACAATACATTTTCCGTAATTCTCCCTAGTTTGCTAACCGTTCCACCGCCGCCCACTGGATACACGCTTGG